ATCCACAATGATGGTTCAGACGATGTTGAACCAAGATCCATGATATGTGCCCTCATCTGACGACAGTTCGTCTTGAATTCGTTCTTCGGAAACCGTGGGTCGATGTCTGCGCATGATTTCCTCACTGCGCCAATTGCTGGGTCTTCCCTCGTGACATTCAGCACTGCTCGATTCAGACCCTGCCACCTTCACCTTCAAGTTTGGCGCCTCATTTGTGGCATGTGCATTGCGCCACGTAGGTCTTTCAAGCCACAGCTCTGCATTGTCATTGTTCTTGTACATAAGGGTCTGGAACATCTGCCATATTGACAGAGGTTAGTTCCGGAGCCAGTATGACCCGCAAAGATGATCACCGCACCCACAGTGTAACCGACTTTGTCTTGGTAGAAAGGCTTTCAGATCTACTGATGAAAGCTGCGTCATTGTCGGTTTCATCATCCTCTATCAAGTCACGAGCCTGTAGCTTGGCATGACGAGCCCTTCTACCGAGTGACTCTAACTTGCTGATACACACAATGCTTGAACAGCACTTGAAAACACGATACCGATACATGCTTGCATGACAAGAAGGGGGGCATGAGAAACAAGAGCCGAACCAGTATATACCAGGTTACCTTCTGTCAACTCCTTGAGACTTCTCAACACACTTTGCTGTTTCTCAACTCTCGTTCAGGGCTGAGCTCGCCCTATGATGGTTCATCAGTAATAGTGATTGCATGCATGACTTTGGACAACAAATGTACAGCAACATGAACCGAAGAAGCAACATGTTTTGAGGTTCAACAGACTGGCAAGCGTTGTCTCCTTGGGAGACCAGCATTCCTGGTTTAACCTTTTCATTACCAACCTTGATACCGGGCCCCGGACTCAATTACCCGGATATTTAGGTTTTCGGTCACAGCCAAGTTTCCTTGGCGCCTAGGAGATCCGACCTAATAACTTTCTGCATTCCGCCAGGAAGTTCACAGGGCTGAACGACAAGCGAAATTGAAGTACGATTTCTCCAAGATGTGCCTCAAGAGGCTCCAGGGTATCTACCTTGTCTGGCTTCATATCTTAATCATCCGTCAAGATTCAAGGCGGGTCTTCCTGTGCCTTGAAGGTCTGCAAGCGCGCACCCATGGTTTGATCTCCATGAGCGTCCGCAACGGGGTCGCAACGATCATTATACAAGATGCGACGAATTGTCCTTTTTTTTTTTTTTTTGTCTTCGTTTTTTGTCTTTCCAGTCTTTTCTGAGTCGTAGCAAAGCCGGCTTGACAAGTTTGAAGGCAAGGTATGTAATCTCACTTTTCTAGGCCTGCCAGCAGAAACAAGAACGTTGGCCAGTGATGATGATGATTAGAAGCCGGTCTTCTTTGTAAGGATCAATTTCTTTTCGGCACTTGAGGCAACCCTTTGTGGCTGCTTAACGTCGAGAAGAAAAAGAAGGGGAGACCATCGCTTTCGGCACGCGCCGGACCAGAGTTGTCGCGACCTTGGTTACGAATCGAGCCTTGTTCGTCCTTCGCTGGAATGACTCTAGCGGGCCGGATTTTGCAATAATAAAGCAGGCGTAGGCGCAACGGTGATCTGCGGACATCAACGTAGCACCAGGACGAAGTGGGCCGTTTATCGTGTGGAATGGACCGGCAGCATCTTCCGGGGCGCATAACTACTTGCTATGTGGACAAATAGCGAATATAGAGGAGCGCGTTGACGAAGCCGCGCAGCCTGGCCGATACAACACCGCACCGCAAGGGGAGCGCCGTACCACACTCGTTGCTCTTTCATTCTGCGAGTGATCTCGATGCAGCCCGACATATGCGTAGCCATGTCCGCCATTCAGACGATAGAGACGGGGACGGGGACCCACGTGATAGGATAGCAGCAGTTCGAACTTCGGGATCCGATTTCCCAAGAGTTTTGGCTCATTGGAGAGATCTCCGCTCTTTCTCACCTGACTTTTCCTCCTCCCCTTTGAGCACATTCCATCACACCTCGACTGCACAAATGCTCCACAAAGAGGGGGTCTGTGAGCAAAATGCCAATTCGGGTGCGGTACCACCACTGACGGAAATGATGATCAGGCCCAGGCAGGGGGTCATTTCCCGAAAGGTGTGACAATGAACGTCACCTGGCCTGAAATGGACTGGACCTTGCTGCAGCGTTGCTGCTTTGAACCTCATCGCCGGCAGAGGTGGACTTCACTGTGCAGATGGGCGGTGTGCCACGGGTATGTGAATCTTTTCTACCGAGTATTCGCGTGTGGACACAATGACAGGGTGTCAGACCACGTCTCTCTCTCTCTCCCTTGGAGTGCATGCATATAGATAGAAAGTAAGAGAAAGAACAAGAAGAAAAGAGTAAGTGGTAGCGGTCGAGTAATGTCTTGTGCAGCACAGGGCCCAGAACTTGATCGCCGGGGCTGGGCGGGAGTGGGAGGAATGTTCTAGGTAGGGCCCGGTAGCTTTGGGTATGAATTTTCTGGTGAGCGCAGATCAATGCAGTGTTACAATTTGATAGCTAGACTCGGGAAATTATTATGCTTTTTGAGTTATAACGAGTCCGACTGGGGAGTCCGAATCCTCCGGGTAAATTCAGAATCGAGACCCTGGCGTGGACTGCGATGAAAAAGCAAGCAAGCCCAAGCCGTGTGCACACATACACACACACACACACACACACACAGGCACACACAGGCACACACACATACATGCATACATACATACATAACATACATACATACAGACATTATACATGCTCAATCATAGGCCGCGGCAGGGCCTCGAGTCAGTACTTTCATAGTACAGTATAAAAGTCCCCCTATATCATAAACTACCCCGGTCTGTTATACATGAGGGTTCAGAAAAGAGTGTCTCCACTTCCGAGACGTATCGCAATAACAAGCGGCTACGGTGGCCTGTAAAGCAAGGTGAGCCGCGAACCCCAAGCCGGAGCGAATCTGGAAAGCCATGGCCCCCCGCCCCCCACCCTCTTCAGGGGATTGAAAGAAACGCATGCATGCGATGATCTTCTGGCCGCCTAATTGGCCGCTTGCGTGTGGCCCCGGCATGAACACGATGTCACAGCGGCTTACGGGGAAATAATGCGCAACGCAAGGTCGGTGTGGGAAAAAAAAAAGGCCCCTACGGGGCGGCGGCGGCAGCAAACGCCCTCTTTTCTACTATGATATTTTCCTATGTACTAGCTAGCCCCTGCAGTGGGCTTGAACGTGAATGAACAACAGCCGGTACAGATTAGCGCATCATGCATCGTTGTGTCAGGTGGGGTTGGCTCGATGGTGATTGCACGTTGCAACTTGCAGAAAAGAAAAAGAAAAAAAATGGCCCCCCTTTGATGCAGGTGGGATTCGCATCGAGGGTGCAGCAACAGGAATCGAACAATGCTCGTGCCCTGTGCGGGCCACGCGATTTCCCCCCAGGAGGGGAGGAAGGGGGAAGGAAGGCCTGCAAGAGGTGGGTGTTGGCGGCCTCACTGTCATGCATTCCCCCCCCCCCCCTCTCCCCATATCTCTTGCCCATCTCCTCCAGGATAGAGAATCTTGGTTACGAAGATCATGGCACGTCTCTGTTTGATGACCAACCCATTACGAAATGAAGCCATCTTAAAAAACAACCATTACGTACCGGTGAGACGGGCCTATCAAGGGCTGGGGCCGGAGTCAACCGATATACCTCAGCACAAGGTTTGGGTCGCGTAGATATATGCCTGCTGCGATCGAACAAGCAGAGTGAACGTAGCATGTACTGTCAATATGCAGGCCTGCAGTTAGAAACACAGGAGACCAAAGAAAAAAAAAAAAAGAAAGAAAAAAGCCCCGAGGCCGCAGTGTCTCTCATTGGGCAGGTATGGATAAGCATGTTCCTCCTGCTACTGCTGCTGCCCAGTGCTGTTGGAATCCCGATGTCAGGCTCCAGTGCCCCCCCTCCTCCTTCTCCTCTCCCCCTCCTCCTTCGAGAGCTTGTTGGCTATGCAGCAGGACTACCTGCATGACCGCCAACGCATCACACCACTTGTCTCCGCAACTCTAAGCCTGGGCAGCAGGTCATGAGTCTCGAGGAGGGTTGTGCTTTGTCGAGGGACGCCACTGTGAACTCCCGGAGGCATTTCAAGGGAGCGCTAGCAAACGTTGTAAGAAAGGATATCAGCCCACTGTCCGTGTGTATGTGTTGTAGGTATGACTCGCCGCGGGACAAGGACAAGTTTGGTTTGTTACAATAGACACCTCGAAGACAGACGAAATCCAGATCACAGCACAAAACGAAAAGAGAAAAAGAAAGAAGGAAAAATTGAAGGGGGATAAAAGAAAAGAAGAAATTCTCCTGCGCTCGGAAAGCGATCTTTTGGGCAGGAGCTACAGAAGCGAGCGTGGAGATAACCCTCCGGAAATTGATGCCCAAGTGCAATCTGAGCGGCTGCTGGTGACTCGTGATGGGCAGGGCAAGGGATCCCGATCGACGCAGTGAGATGCTGAACCGGCACCTGTCCGGCGTCTTTCATCTCCGAATACCCACATATAAGCGGCTCGGGACCGGGCATCATAGTGTTCTTGACCGCACCCGTACACACGCCGCTGTGCCCAATACGGAGCGTTCGAGATTAAACAGATACACATTGCTACGTGATTTGAGGAAATATTCTTTTTCTGTTTTCGAAATCATTTTCATGGTACGGTCAATCAAGTGCCGGGGCTTTAGGCATGATCTTGAGGTTCTCTTCCAGAGCCTCGTATGTGGATTGTTGAGGCTTGAGCCTCCTCACACCCCATCCTGATTGTTCTCGGGTACAAGACAGGATTCCTTGCGTGTACGAGGTAGTAGCTTTTGTAGAGATAGGGGGAAAGCGGTGATGAATACTGAAAGTGAAAGACACTGCAAGCTTTCTTAAATAGACTTGCTTGCGTGTGATAAAGGGAAAATGACAACCTGTGCATTACATGATTTTCTTGATCCACGTGTACTAGGCTGAACATCCCTATCTTATTAACTTTTCCCCCCCTAGAACTTTGTGTCGCTTTTGGTTCTCTGTCCGTGGTGCTGTCATATTGTAGTAGTTGCTTAGCCATGAAGCTCAATAGGGCTCTAAAAGTCTTGGAGATGACTGTTACACCAGGACTAACGCCTTACCTTTGTACTTTGAGAAGTTATTTGATCAACTCAAGATAATCCATCATCATCTAATAGAGACCAATAGCTCCGCTATACTTAACTTGTTAACACCTACAAGTAATTCGCCCTAGTCAGGAGGCTGTGCAGTTCTATACAAAGCACTTTATGTGCGAGGCCAAGTGAGCAGCCAGCCAACAGGTAGATCGGCCTTGTGGCTTTTCCTCTTTTCTCTTGCCTCTTGCCTCTTCAGCGCACAGCAACATGAGCTTATTTTGCCCGAGCATACTTTATGTCTGCAAGACATATACATGATGTTATCAAAAGAGCCACTTGAGGACTACTGAATATATCTCAAGATAACGGAAAACAAATGTTCGAAACATGGTTGAATATGGGCATCATACTGCCAGCCTTCTTGCAGATTACCAGTTTCAGCCGTTGTTGACAATATTTAGGAGAAAGGAACTCCTTGTACTCGGGCCATAAGACAACCTGACCTTAGCATGAAAGCGAAAACGCAAAAGCAAGAGAAAGGGCACCTCTTCTATATGTGTGAAGCTAGGGTGCAAATGTGTTGAACAGAATTGACACGCACGCCGATGAGCAGCATGGAGATCATAAGTAGCGGTCAGTGATAGAATCCACACATAGTATCCAAATCGACATTATAATCATGGACAGTACCAGTTGGGGAGCAAAAGAGACAATACTGCTGAGAATGAACTCGAGATGATCAACATACAGCATTTTGAATGTTGACAAGGAGCCAGCAACAACTTTCTGCGAAGCTGTGGGAGGCTGAAGACAGGTAGGAACAGGTAGTTGACTTGCACCACTCCTTCAGCTATGACAATGGTAGAGGCCAACCCATCAGATGACTCACCACAGGGAGCAGCCAGGTAAGTTGTATGGCCTTGGAAAGCACTGCTTGGACAGATTTGCTTTTGGGACCGAGGTGGTACGTGTATCTCCTGGCTTTGGAAGCAAGAGCAACCTCGACAAAACTCCATATAGCAAGGCTGCTGGCTCCAGGGCTTTGGAGGATGATCCTCCTACAGCAGTGACCCGCCTGCTTGCAGGCCAGAAGGATGTTTCTTGCAAGTCTATCGCCCACAGTACAGTGTCCATGTTTCATCAAATTGTTGTGCAGCCTGAGATGACCGCCACTATCCTCGAGCCTCCGGGAGAAAGACATCACCTCGAAAGTCGTCTCCTTTTCCACAGCCCAAGAAGCTGTTACTCGATGGGGGCGAGCCATCAGGTTGGGTCTTTGCTCCAGAGTGCGGATCGCGCGCGGGCTACTTCGAGGCTGGGGCATGTCGTCAGGGGCGACCGGCCAGGACTCAGTGTCATCGATCGGGGAACAATGCTGCGAATGTCACAGGGCCGCCACCTTGAAGTAGCTGGACGCGCCAAAGTCAAGCAAGACTCTGGAGGCAGGTGTTGTCCGTCGATGTGGGATCGTCACAATGGCGAAGTGATTCTGGCAGGCTCGAATGTACACGACAGGACTTGGGAGGCGTTTTCCGCTCGTTCTGCGTACAAAACCCGAGGGCCCAGATTTTATAGTCTCAAGCAACATCCTTGAAGGAAACACCAAATTGTCAGTGATTTGTAGGCTGGCCAAGTTCAATGGGAGAGGGAGGGGCGGAGGGGGAGCTTCTGAACGGGTGAACAACGCCGAGCTCATGTTGTTCGTTGTCTGCACTGGCCTTGACAGGCACTCCGAAAAGGACAACATTGTCAAGAATGTTTGCACGCGATGACTGAACGAGTTGGTTGTACTCAGTTGTGCTGATACGCTGGAAGGAGCGTTTTCCTTCCCTTCCCGCCTCCCGCCTTCCTCCCCTGATGGAGGACTCGAGAGCGGCAGCTGCATTCTACGCAGGAACCGCTAGAAATTAGAATAAACCAGCCCAATCCAAACGACTTTATTTGGTTGGAACCCGTCGTCTGGTACCATGGTACGGCCACGGGCTAGCTAATTACCAGGCCAACATCATTCCTTGATAAGCACCTCTGAGCCGACGACAACGCGAAGTTCAAAGATTGCCAAAGACCGAACTACGTAGCCCAACAGCGCGCACATCGATCAGCCATTAGCTCTTGGAAGTCAGGAGGCAAGGACGGCGGGTTGCTCGCATCAAGAGGGCCCTTCTTCTGGCCTACCTCTTGTGAGCAAAACCCCTGATTAGTCCCTCCCCTATCTCAGCCTCATGATCCATCCGAACTGCCGTTGCCACACTGCTCAGCTCACTGGAGTGACGTCGCTACTGTGGTAGGCACAATCTTGAGTGTGGAGCCCAGTCTACTCGGCTGTCTTGAGTATGCAAAGTTCAGGCAATCGTGATGGCAGAGTCCGCGCCGTGTCGCTGACCTTGTCGTCAGGAATCTCGATCTCTCGAATGGTATCAGCCGCATCCTTCTCTCATCCTTGCTGCAAACCCAAAACCCGAGACCTCTCGGCGCAGTCAAGGTTGTCTCGACTCGACAATTAGGCAATCAAGACGTGCAGACTGCCATGCCAGTAGTATGTGTTCCGGTCGAGGAGGACGGAATCCCGCCCCGAGCCTAGTCAGTCGATAGTTTCAAGCTTCCTGGGCGCGCAATGATTGGCGCAATGACGTTTGAGCACTGCTGAAGACATACTATAATTTATAGTACCAGCTGGTACACACTCATTGTTGCCAGACGCCGCACACCGCCTGCTGCGAGTCCATCTCGAACACGAAGGGGATGATCTTTCTCCGGATACGAGGTCTGTATAGCAGATGGTGATTCAGTGGTGGCAGCTTCACCTTGGCAAATCTATCGTCTGGCCGCGCGGCCGCTGAACTCTTAAACAGCATGTACTATGGTACTCTGTACGGTAAAAGTATAAAAACCGGCTCAAATCATCCGGTCGCAACCCTTGTCACGAAATCTGCTCCCGAGAAAATGTCCGATGCCTTGAATCAATCAGGAGTGGACCGTCGACGAGAGCTCTCCAGAGGGCAGGCTGGGAGGCTTTCATCACTCACACTAAGGGCCACACCGCCCAGCAGCTTATGGTCTGCCCACGAACTGGTCGCGGCGGCAGAGGGGCTTGCGCCAAGATCTGGTTGACGTCGCAAGGCCCAGGGGCTGCATCGGGAATAGCTGAGTGCGCCCCAGGGCAGCCCGGAAGTGCCTGCGCCTGAGTCGCTGCTGGTTTAGGACCTTCCCCGCAAAGAGGATTTTAGGGCCTTTTTCGTTGTGGCGGGCCCAGGAGGGACAACTGGTACCCTCCACCCCTCTCCCGCAGATCTTTGCGACGCCATCGCCCCCCCTAGGAGCCCGACTCTGCGGGCCCGGCGTAATCGTCAGCGTACGTCAGGGGTTATGCTTGCTGCATGCGGTGGCGATCAAGGAGCCAGAGGGGATCAGGTGCCAACGAGGCCTGGCCCAAAAACCCAGGCAGCCTGATGCAGCTTCCAGCTGGCCCGCGTGAGTGGGCATGACAAACTTCTTAGCGCATGGAGAGAGACAGAGACAGAGGGAAGGAGGGGCAAAGGGAGAGGGGGGGGGGGGCGAGAGGATGGAGAGTGTACATTATATGTTATCTGTGCTCTCAGATACATCCACCTGTACGTACACACGTCTGAGGCTGGAGAAGGAGAGGACCTTGGAACCTGAAACTTTAATTGCGCCGCCGATGTCCAAGCAGCACCCAGACGAAACAAACCCTACAGGCTGGTAATTACTGGCGCTACAGTACATACCTCTCTGCTGCCGCTCCTTGCTGATCCTCCGACAAGCATAAACTCCGCCCGACACAACCCACCATTCAAACCCCCCAGCAGCAGCAGCAGCAGCAGCAGCAGCAATGAATTACCTGGGTATTCCCACTACCAAACAGAGACCATGAGCCGGCGACAGAACAGCAGTTGTGATCAGTGCAGGAAGGGAAAGAGAGCATGCGATGCAGTCTGGCTTCGCGACAGGCAGATTCAGCGCGCGACGGCCGAGGCGGGCGGTTTAAGGCCGAGTCATGGAGGTATGTATTGATTCTTGCGGCTCTCTTGTTGGTTTTTTCCCCGCCTCCCCTCCATTATCTTACCCCGTCTTGCCCTGGCGGCGATGAGGCGGATCCGCGGTTGAGCATACGTGGTGGATGCGACGGCGGAGACGTTGCGGCAAGCACAACTGTCGGCCGCGGTTCACTCACACACGCAGACAAATACTTTGTGTGTGTGTGTGTGTGTGTGTGTGTGTGTGTGAGTGTGTGCATGTGTGTGTGTTATATGTGTGTGTATGTCTCTCTCCCTCGCACTGTCACACACACAACACGCACACGCACGCACGCACATACAGGGCCACCTAAACATACAAAAATGAAGCCCGAGGTGCTACACGTAGTGGCTTGCTAACACGGCGGTGTCCCCGCTCCTGCAGGTCTAGACGATGATTTCGACTTCGTCGGCCCATGTACAAATTGCGCCCGCACCAATAAGCAATGTACCTTCGAGTGGGTGCAGAGCCAGCAGCAGCAGCGCAAGCAGAGACAGGCGCTTGCATCTCATGATGCAGCTGTGCCGCCCACCAGGAGGAGGGCTGCGAGCCAGGCCGGGAGCCAGGCTGCCGAGACACAGTCTGCTGGATCGCAGTCACCCTCCTCGTCCACAGACATCCCCATTCGGCCTCTAGGAGGGCCTACGATACCCACAGCAGCGGAGGCGGCGGAGGCGGAGGCGGTAGCAGCAATAGCAGCGGCGATGCCCTCGTCGTCGTCATCGTTCGATACACACCAGGCATACCATTTCCAAGGGCGACAGGCTGCTACAGAGCAGCAGATCCTGCTTGAAGGCTGTGCCTTCCCACCGTCAGGGCCAGAGCACTTCAGCCTGCCGCCGAACCCAGCGTCCGATGTCGCTTTTGTCGATGGCTCGTTGACGACCAGCGCGCCATCGATGAGTGCCGCCAGAGTTGCTTGTCTAAACAACCACCAACACCACCCACCTTTTATGGATGTCTCTGGCGTCCTTCCAGGGTACGGCCAGCATGTTGTCGACGACTACAACAGCCTCGATCCCTTCAGCAGTCCGTCCTATGCCGGTACAGTCGGCCTCCACCATCATGACGGCATCTCGGGAGGCGTGTGGCCGAGCCCCACGGTGTCGTCCGCTACAATGTCTGACGACGTGCCTGCGCAACAGACGCGCAAGCGCCGGCGCACGCAGAGCCCGGCCCGGACCACGGTCACGATGCCGTGGGCCCTCACCAGCGACGCCCGGCTGGCGAGGGCTGCCAATGGCAACATGATTGGCGAGACCATGATGAAGATCTATCACGACGTGTGGGAGGGGGCGCTGTCGTGCTGGCTGACGGAGCAGTCGTGTCCGTACAACACCATCGCCATCTCATCCGCCCTGCACATTCCCGATCCGCTGCGCCGCCAGCAGCAGCAGCTGTGGGCCACCCTCGAGGACATGCAGCGCGAGTGGGGACCCAACTGGTCCAATCGTGTCTATCGCCGTGTGACCAAGCTTGACCAGAAGGCCCACCTCCTCGGGCTCCGGCGTCTTCGCCCTGCAGACGAGCGCAGGGTCGCCACCGCGCTGAACGCCGTCGTGATGGCCTTCACGGCGCAATGGGCGCAAGCAAGCCGGAGGAGTAGCGCGCGGTGGGCTCCAGGGACAGCGCCTGACGGGTCGGACCAGCCGCCGGACCTCGACCTGGGCGACGAGTTCGACCGCACCCTGCAGAAATCGTTCTGGAACCAGGCCCGCCGGGCGTTGGATGACTGTGGCGAGATCGACTCGTTTCGTGTCGTGTTTGCCGAAATTATCTTCGGCCTGACCCAGAAGTACGCGGCGGAGAACGCAGGCCAGCATGCCGACGACATCCTCGAGGAGAACGACGGCAACACCGCTCGTGCCGTTGAGGACATCCTGGGTCAGGACACCCAGCAGATCTGGATCGAACGCGCCATCCGCCGCCTGCAGGTGCTGCGGCGTCGTGTCGACCTGCACGACCTTCAGGTCCAGCGCCATCACAACAAGCGTGAGGACGATCGTCATCACCATGGCGGTGGCGGTGGCGGCGGCAGCAGCGGCTACTACGACGCCGAGTGCAGGAAAACGATCGACCTTCTCTTCTGGCTGGCCGTCATGTGTGACACAATCTCGGCGGCGATGACGGAGCGGCCGCTGATGGTGGCGGACGAAGACAGCAGGAACTTGAGTCTAGCGCACCCGTCACACCACGACGCCTCCGCCGTCGCCTCGGCACCCGGCGCCCTCGACACGGCCAAACGCTGGAATGTCATACTGGCCAAAGATTTACAGACCAAGAGGGTCTCGCTGCGCTGGCCCTGCTCGGACCACGACATTGCGCAGGAGCTCACCGACGCAGCGCCCGTCAAGGTCCTGCTGTACAGGAAGGTGACGCGGCTGCAGGCGCTGGTCGCGCGGGACCGGGACCCGACAGCCATCGAGGAGGCGATTCAGGACTCGTTGATGGTGTACACGCACTGGCAGGCCATCTACTCGGGCCTCTTCTCTGACTGCGTCGCCAATCACCTGCTGTTGTCGGCGCGGACGCAGAGCTGGTACGTGTGCCTGTTTGGCCACTGGCTGCTCGCCACCCTGCTCCTCGTCGACCTCGTCGAGATCGTCGACCAGCGCGGCATGGGCGGCACCAGGCAAATGCGCCAGAGGGCCGACAAGGCCACCGTCTCGAACATCAGGAGGTCCAGCGTTATGCTCGTGTCTGACCTGGCGAGGGCCTCGACCCCCAGGCATGACGACTACGGCGAGCTTGAGACCTTCCACCACGCTGTCAACGAGGGCGCGTTGCTGACCGAGCCGTGGACCATGATCCTGCTCCGTACCTTCTCCAGGACCGCCATCATCCTGCTCGAGGGCACTGTGAGGCTAGCTCCCCCCCCACAGACCGCTGACAGTGCCGAAGCCCCGGTGGTAGCCACCGAGGTGGAGAGGGGCAATTTGGAGAGATGCGAAAATTGTGTCAGAGCCTTGTGGTATCTGGGCAGGAAGTCAGATATGGCCAGAGAGGTAGCTGGTGTTCTGGGCGTTGCGCTCCAGCGCGAGAGATTAAAGGCTATTCAGTAGCATTGAACATGGTGTGATCTTGATTTTTCTTTTTTTTTTTCCTTCTTTCTTTCTTCCTTCCACACCTTGCGCTGGATTGGGAAGAAAAGGAAGACCGTCACGAGTTCAGACGAGCAATGAAATTCTAGGCAAATCGGCAGATATGGCAAGCACGTATGTCTGTATATTATATATTATTTGCACGTATGTATAGGTATTTTTCACGCTGAAGTTCAAGAGCTCAAGATCCTCTCTCCACTGGAGATATCAAATACTTATTACCAGGCCTTTTGTGGTGGTTTCCGCCATTTCTCCTTTGCGTATCGCATCAAGATTTTGAGGCAGCAAAGACGAAGAGGAAAACCCACATAGACAATATGAAAGTAAAGCGAAACATTTCGAGTATTGATCGTTGAGGTGTAGAATGCACCCAGAGAAAAGAGGAAGAAAAAAAACAGAAGAAAGGGACAAACCCCTCCTCCCCGTGACACCACCCCCCTCCCTACAAACCCACCAATCGCATCAAGCTAGAACGTATTTCGAAAATAGTCAGCCACACACGGCCCGTGCGACACTCACTCACTCGTTTCACTGCTGTGGCCGAACGCCCACGGCAAGCCCGAGAAGGGGGGGAGATGTAAAATGCACTTCACGCCTTGCTTGGCACCTTCATTCACTGCATGAAGATCACGGGCTGACCGGCAGGATACATCTGTAGTTTTAGCTTATGATGGGCGGGAAAAAGGAAATTGTTTGCATGTTACTTTTCCCCCTCCTTCCTTCCTCCTCTCTCTCTTTTATTGGAATGAGTGGTATAAAAATGATAATAAATTGTGGCGTGCCGATGGGGTTGCGTCCACGCCCATCTCCCAGAATAGAAACAGGATTTTAAATTGCCTGTTGCAATATTGCATTTGAGGCGAGGGACGGGTCATGCACGACTCGTCAGGATGGGACGTTTATCTTGTGCTCTTTTTTTCTTTCCTTTTTTATTTTTATTTTTTTTATTTTTCTTTTTTACAGAGGAAACGCACTTAACTTTGGCTTGTTGGATAGGTGCTGTAGCGTCGTTGAGGTCAACGCTGGGTGCGTCGCGTATGAGAATGTCAGCCCAGAGCACCCACTCTCCTTTCTCCTCTCCCTTCTGACAATTATACTGTGTGGAATCTGGTCTAACTGTTCCAATTGAAAGAATCGAAGAAGGAAAAAATGATGACAATCGACGCTGCATTCATCATGACGGGTCGCCATCTTAAGCGCTGTTAACACTTGCTTGTAACGTCTGTCAGGAAATGAGAAAGATAGGGGAGGTTGGCTGGTTGCATTGAGAGGGGGGACCGGGCCGCGTGTGTCGCGGATCATGAAGGACGCCGTTTCCGATCTGGTCGTCCTGCGCCGCGTGTTGCTCACCTCACCCACCCCCGAACATGTTTGGCTGTTTTTTCCGCTCGGCAATCTGCGTCTTGGCTCAAACGACCGGGTATCCTCCCGCCCTCTTTCGTGCTGTGGTGGTGGTAGGTAACACGGCATAGGGTTGCCTGTTTTTCGACTCCCGACCTGGTTGGTTGTGGGCCTGGGCGTCGTGATTATGTCGGCAGTCAAGGCTTGTCACATACCTGGGCATCCTTGGTGCGCCACTCAGAGGCAAGACAAGTTTCTCGAGTTCTTGGGTTTTCCTGCTCTTCTTTTTTGCGCGTGTTCTTTTGGGCAAACACCAGTGCAGACAGGTCTGATGACCTAGCAATGCTTGTTCGGAGCGGCACGCATCCGATCTGCGCCTGGTGCATGCCGCTGTACTGTTCCCTGGCAATGCGTCGTCCATCGGCGCCGGTCGTAAGAAGTCGTCCTTTCTCCTCCCAGCCAAAACAGGGTCACGAGAAGCGGAGAACGGAATGAGGCTGCACGCGCGGGACACAAAACGCCCCCTCGTCCTTCACCCCCCCCCCCCCCCAACCTCCTCCTAAGCTGAGCACGATCAGCAGGCCGGCAGGGCCACAGACGAGATGACTACGATAGAACCAGAATCTTGCGGCCCCCAAGGGATGAGTCTCTGAGCTCGGCAGCCCGCGCCAATGTTTGATATCGGCGTGCACAGGAGCCAATTGCCAGGCGCGGACTGATCCGGCGCCACACAAACAATTCTTGATGAGAAGGTGCGCGCGCGGCCCTTGACGGGTCGAACTCCCTTGGACCCTGCAATGGGCCCCAGGTCGAGACATGCGTGCCCCCGGAACGTCACGCAACTAGACACTGTGCTGCCTGTAGCCCGTGCTCGTTGGTGGGTTCCGGGTGCTGGCTGGCTGGCTCACCACGTGCGTGACCAGGAGGGTTGCTCGCCCTCTTGAAAGTCAGGAGTCGTGTTGTGATGGTCATAAATGCTCGAGAGTGCACAGAAGATCCAAATTCGCTCTTCGTGTCTCTGTCTCCTTCTCTCTTATCTTCGTTCAAGGGCACTGCTGGTGACGATCTCCCGTTTGAGCACGAGTACGAGGGCCACAGCTGTGTCCGCCCGTCCCGCCCGCCCTAATTTCTGCACGAGACCCCGCCATTGTCAAACAAGCGATGAAGCGATATGCTGATTGCAGGTGAGCTTGCGGGGAGAAAAGGGGGGGGTTTTGAAGGGGTTTAGCACTGCTAGAGAGCCGTGGTTGCATTGTACGACGTGACCAGTGCGAAAGCTTCGGTCTCTCTGCCTTTTAAAGAGTCGATGCTGGTACATAGTAGATTCTGGCGTCCTTCTGGATAATACTGGGCGGTGCTTACCTTGTCACGGGTTATATTAGAGGATATAACTCGGACTGGCGTGCAGAACGGTCGAGATTTGACGGCCCACTTAGAAGGCATATACAAAAGAAGAGGGGATGAGAGAAAGAACAAGAAAAAGAAGGAGAAAAAAAAGAAGGGTCATCTCTCCCCAAGTAAGAACGGGTTCTATGGTATGACTTGACATGAAATTTGAATAGTGAATCTTGGTGCGTCTTGACTAGTTCTGGCAATCTGCTGCCACAGGCATACTTGAGGTCATGCCAATGCGTCGAGTTACCATGGCGTGCGTGCGTGGTGGTGCTATGGTATTTTGCCTGTCCTCGGTCCTCACTGCCCAGTAGTATTGCTGGGGAGGGGGCTTCCTACCCCCAGCGGCCAAGGTCGATGCCGCCTTGCAGATGGAAATGTCGCTAATTCAACGCCAGGCATGGGGTGTCCCTGTCAATAGCAGCGCCATCCTGGTCTATGCGCGTCAGGGGTAAGCTTCAAGCCAAGGATGCACCACCTTCCCCATCCGCAACCTTCTTTCCTGCGTTTCCAATTCCAGTTTGGACGGCAGGTCAGACCCAGGTCAACCCCTAGTAGTTCGCGCGGGGGAAGGTGAGGACGGTGAGTAGGAGCAGAAAATAAAGGGAAAAGTGAGGGTGCCAATTAAGAAGAGAGAAGAAAGGCAACAAGGAAAGAAGTGCAGGTGCTCTAGAGGAAAGAGAGAGTGAGGAACGACGATGAGGACCCCTGACCCGCCGCCACCATGAACCCCATTCCATCCTCCTCCTCCTTCTCCTCCTCCCTCTGCCCCCCCCCCCCCACCACCTCTCTTTATTTTCACTTAGTATGATACTCCTCCTGTCATGGTACATACTATCGCACTACTACCATGATCCTACTACACAGTACCATCAAGTACTACAGCCATAGGGGCAGCAGTAGCAGCATCGCAGACGACTTGGGCCTTCATCTCTAGCTCTAGTTCCGATTCCCCGACTTCCCTTCCTCGGCCTCCTCCTCGAGTCAATCAACAACCAAGGCTCATTCTTTCGCCCAACCCACCAACCTCACGGACTCGTGTGCTCACAGACTCTAGTCGTAGTCTCTGGTGATCATGTCAATCTGGTCCTGGTCCGGGTCCGTCTTCCAGACCAGGTTCAGCTCGTCAATCTCATCAGGCTCATCAGACCCCTCGGCAGGGCGCAGAAAAGTCATCTTATCCTGTCCCACCTTTTGCTCTTAGCACGTCACTTCAAGCACCCAACAGTATCGACACGGCCGAAGACTTCCCCTTTCTGATGTTATTTTAATTTTGCATGCCTCTTTTCTGTATCTTAATTTTTCATGCTCATTCCCCCTTCCCATTCTTGCTTCTCTTCATTCCAGAACTAGACAAATCGCAATTTGTATCCGTCAATATCCCCAGTCCCTTGGCCATAACTGTCACGCTTTGTCTGGTTCGTGAGATTGCCAGAGGCCACCAGAGTGGATCTCACTCCCCGATCCAGACAAGGATTTTGGTTGTTCTTGTCTTGCTGTTCTGGACCTCTGTGCTCTGCTGCTTTTCACGGCGTTACTCTCTGCTGGGATCATTGCCACCTGGTCGGGGATTATTTTTCTCGGACGAGTTGCGTGTTGCGCTCTCTTCTCGTGTCCATCGACTAATTGACTGGTCACTTGTCAACAACATCCCAACTTACCCTCCTGTTCCCTTTTCTCGCATTATCGCCATCAGCTGGGCTCTTTTGGGAAGGGGAGTGAACACCTTTCGGTTCCTGTCCCTGTCTCATACTTTCACTCTATACTCTCTTATTTTCTCCATATACTCTCTTCTGGCGTCTCTATCCTGCTCTGTCGGCACAACCCCTCCTACATCAGTCATCACGGACAGCCAACAGGCCTCCCAAGGAACAGGGGAGGACACCAAGACGACCAGGTTGATGTGATCTCTCACCCGACTCTCGTTGCCCCGACCCGATCCTTTACACACAAGAGGATTCAGGGCACTGCAACAGGCCAGCCAGCAACGCAGTTCTTCCCCCAGCACACGGATCAGTCTCACCAGGCGTCTCTAGGCGGAAAAAAAAAAAAAAAGGGTGGGTTTCAGCCCGGCCGTAGCCTACAGCAAGCAGCCTGGTAGTACAAGACGACTCTCTATCCCTCTCAGTCTTTCTCTCTTCGTCGGCCAATCGAACCCCTTCCAGAGACCTCATATCCGGGGTAGGGGAAGAGGACAAAAGGAGAAAGAACAAGAGAAGAAGAAAGAAGCAAAAAATACGACCATCCGGCACGGGACCCTTCCCTTCGGACATATATCCACACCCTTTTTCTGTCCATGCACGACCCGGTAGACCAGGCTCTATTGTCGGCTCCACCTCCATGCATGTTTTAAATGAGTCCGCAATCTTCGCCCTTGATATAGCTATCGATCGCCCCGGGGTCTTCTTCGCCTCGTGCCCTGTGGGTTTCTTCAAGTTTCGGGGGGGTCACATCTAAGAGACCTCACCTCCTCCTCGGATGGACTTGGGGCGGGAAAAGTCGTCTCCGCAACCAAACTCATATACTGGCGATACACAAGGTCTGCCAGGTCTCTCGAGGGTCACCGGGCACGGAGGAAACGGGAGGATAGCACCGGGCTCGTGTGTGTGAGAAAAAGGAAGGACGACACTCGATTTCCCAAGTTGCGAGGGGGTGGACTAATTGGAAGATGGGCGGCGCCACCAAGTTAAGATTCCCTCTGCCGCACAGGCGGCAGAAGCAGCAGCAGCAGCAGCAGCACCACCAACAGCACCATGAGGTCCAGTCCATCTCGGCGCCCATGACCAACAAGGCGCAGAAGCTCCTTGGCACGGCGGAGATCAACATCGACGCGACCTCTTCTCCTACTTCGCCCCATGAGCAGCTGTCGAGGCCATGGGAGACACGCTCCACAGTCTCTGGCATTAGCGGCATCAGCGTCACAGTCTCGGAGTCTACAACCACGGGTACTGCTGTGTCTAATGCTGAAGAGAGCGGCATCACTATTGGGCCCAAGACGGGTGCCAAGGCGGTATGGGATCAAGAGTCGGACATACTACCAAGGGCGCTGGGGTTGAATGCCAGCAGTGGCGGACGCAGCCACAACCTGGACACCACGACCGACGCCTCGAGCCTGCGGAGGCGCCGCTCGAGCTCGACCATCGTGTCTTATTACGACAAGACCAAGCTGCCGCTGTCCATCTCCCAGCAGACGTCAAACTCAGCCATGGCCAAGGGGCCGCCGAACAAGATCCTAGACGGCCTGAGCATGGAATCGCCACGCCCTGCGCCGTCACCGCCGGCATCCGCAAGAAAGAAGCCCAGCAGGTTGGATCTAGCTCACCTGTTCCCAAACGCAGCCTCGTCCAGGCTGGCTCGGTTCGCCCAGAGAGGAAACATGGTTCTCGGGTCTGACTTGTTGACACGTTCACCATCGGTCATGTCGACATCATCGTCACCAGTCTCCTCACCCTTGGGCTACGATCAGAAGGGTGACAAGAAGCTGCGGAGGAAGCTGACCAAGGAGAGCCTCAAGAGCCTCCAGAGCCCGCGGCCTGAGCGATTTGGCTCCTTCAGCAGCGCAGAGCCTAGCACCCACGAAACCTTACGAAACCGCGCAAGCGACACAGGCAATCTGCATCATCTCTATCAGCACTATGAACAAACGTCGTTTCGAGACACGATGCAGCAGGATGAACAACCATCTTCTCCATCCTCGAGGCGGCCGAGCGGGCACGAGGACTACGAGGCAGAATTCAAGGGTTCTGCTACTGCTTCGAGTAGGAGGAACACACGGCAAAGCGTGCCAACGTCATCGCCATTAGCGACCAAGATCCGACACCACGTCTCGCCGTCTTCTGGCTCCACCGGCTGGCGGCCGTTCCCTGCCTTCTCCCCAGATGAGGACTGTGGCACCATTCCGGAGAATCCTCGCGTATCTGTGACGTCTTCCACCCTAGCCTCGCCCTCGGGAGATTACGCCACCAGCGTGTCGAGCAGACATACGCGCACGTCCAAGGCGTCCAAAAGGACGGAGAGCTTTGCAGACTTTGACCCCAACGCAACCAGCGTCCTGTCTCTCTCCTCGGATTCCGAGGACGACTACCCTGATCCGCCCAGGACGGGAACGTCGATCCCCAGCGTGGGCTCTCGCGACAGCAGCTTCTGTCCAAGTGAGCACCGAAGGCCGTCCAACTCTTCTCTCTCGCAGGAGTCGGTGCGCACGCAGCCCAAGAGCAGATTCCGTACCAGCCTGAGCCCGCAGGCCCCCTTTCTCGCGATCCCCGAGCATGCCCGAAGCACCACACCAACACCGCCAAAAATCAACCAGCGCACCAGCTCTCTGGTCCCCTCGGCGACGACAAACGACAGCCCGCGACCGTCTGTTGTGTCTGTCACGTCGTCGTCTGTCCGCTCACCATCCAGGCTCTCCCAGACATCATCCATCTCGACTGTCGACTCGGCCCCAACTCATTTCTCCCGCCCACGCAAGCCGTCAAATGCATCCGGGCCTGGGCAGGCTCCTGAGATCCGTCATGTTGCCATGCTACAAGCCCGGACTGGAACTCCGACACAAAAACAACCAAATCATCATCACCACCATCATCAACAGCAGCAGCAGCAGCAGCAGCAACAGCAGCAACAACAACAGGAGTCGCAGCCCGAACCTGTGTACGAGCTGTATGGCAGCCAGCCGGCCCAGACACCGGCCCCGAAGAAGCCGCAGGCAACACCACTGCCGCCAATAAGCCAGTCCAGCATGGAGTTTGTTGTTCAAGACCAGCGAGACGCGAATCATGAGCGGGACGGACCTATTCTTACACTCAGTGGTGCTGATTCCGCGGGTGGTGAGGAACGATTTATAGCCGTCACCAAACAGGAGGAGATGCTACTCGCAGCGATGAGAGCCAAGCGGGCGCTGATGCGAGAAAGCACGCAGGGAGCAGAGATGAGCGAGTTGGATGCCGGGATTGATGCAGTACAGAGGTCGGCTTCGAAGAAAGAATCCATCTCCAGCATCAAGACGGTGAGGGCAGACACGCTGCAGCCGCCTCCACTGCAGGTTCGGCCTGCCCACGGCCGCGGCGGCAGCAAGAAGGCGCCACAGATGCTGCACTTTCCCCAGCCTCCCTCATCGAGGCCAGCCGTGGTCGTGTCGCAACGCAGTTCAAACAAGGACACCGAGGAGCAGGAGCAAGTCTTGATGTATCTCGACCGCACCATCAGCACCATGAATCCATATGATATGGCCGAACCAAGCCCTGATCTCAGCGACTTCGTGATTGACTTTGACGCGGAGCCAATACGCCCGCTACCTCCCGCGCCAGCAGACGCAGCATCGCACAGCCGGAACTCATCTACAGCCTCAGCCGCCGGACGCCTGACGCACCCAAAAGCCAAGCAACATCGCCGGCAGTCTAGTCTCGGTCGTCCGCGGCCCGATTCCGAGTTCATGCCTCTTTACAAGCCATCGTCGCCCGAACCCCTGCCGCCCATGCCCTCCTACACAGTTCCTGAGGAGGACATGCTGTCTCAGCGCGATCGACAGGGACTTGGTGCTGCTACTACTGCTGCTAGGAACCGAAAGATGAGGGATGTTATAGCGGATGCATTCAGGCCCGTTTCTCAAAGCACCATCCGCGAAGAGAGCGAAAACGAGAAGGAGGTCTTGGAACAGCAGGCGGCGGCCCCTGCATCGAGAAAGAAGGCTGTGCGGATCAGTGCTGTTGGTTTACAGCTGCCGGAGATTGGACAATGGGGCGACGATGGCTGAGACTTTACGGTTTCCTGACCGTATTGAACAAATCGCACCAACGACTCCACTTAATCACATCTGCCTCAGACAGCCCGTGTGGTCAAAAGGAGACTCCGGGCCACACGAGGCCTTTACCCCCTCCCCCCAAATATCACTTTCCATGCCATCAGGATTTTTTTTTTCTCTCTTTTTATCACATTCACGCATAGCCATCGGAGGCCAGGAGAGGAGTTCATAGTGGAATATGTGTCAATTGCAACGATGTCGATCATCGTCACGCGGGTTCTGAGGTCTATTGTTACGCGAGGCATATGATGATTTGTCTCAAGATTATGGGGGTTTTTTTTTTTTTTTTTTTTTTTTTAATTTTCCTTTTCTTTATGCACTCTCATCTGTCCCCATATCACATTATTTTTCTCTTTATTTTCTTTGTCAGTGAGCGGATAGGATTAGAACCTGGTCAAATGCATGTTCTGGAGTGGTTTCTGTGGTTCAACATTCATCACATCTTACCTCTCATCTCGCATCAACAAATTACGCATATATGTATATATGTAGGTATATATCTACACAACCAGGCAAGCGAGGTATTTGAGGTAGTCGGCAGGGTGGCAAAGCTAGAGTGGGTGCATATATGTATGCATGGTATGGCAGGAAAAATCCAAGGGAAGGGCAATGATACCACAATACAATAAGTTTTAATACTACTCCGCAGGTGACATTCTGCGTGTCGAAGATCAACCGTGACTTGTCGAAACAAAAATACATACAACGTGTGCTCGTATTGTCGATGGGAGAAGGAGGAAGATGGCTCGAAAAAAGAGAAGAAACTTCAGATCCAGTGATAACAGTCTTGCCTTGATTATGATCTTGTTATACAGACTGGGGGTTCTCGAACGCAGAACAGCTCGAAACATGACCTGCTGCTACAGGGCTGAGCCCGGCCGCCAATGAGTGCGACGAACCTGACGAGAAGGGACATTGTGCTTCTTGTTCTTCTTCTTCCCCTTCCTCCCAAGACGACACCAACGCTCTTCTCCCCTCCAGCTGACGCTCATGTGCCTTCTCGAGGAAATCCAGAGCCATCTCTCTCGCGGCACCACGGGCGCCGCGATCCAGCAGCTCCTGACAGAGACCCGCGGTGATGGGGTTCTGGTAGCAATCGCGCTGCTCCTCGCCATCGACGACGACCAGCATCTCGGCCTTGGACTGCAGGACGTGGAGGGTCCTCTCGTCGGCCGCGCTGTACAGGGCGTTGCACCGGGCCAGGGTGTCATTGACAATCTCGTGCATGATGTCGAGCATGTTGCCCTTGTCGCCGCGGACCAGCCAGTGGCGGATGCTCTCGGGGGGCAGGGCGGCGTCGCACACTTCGTGGAGCTTGATGAGGGCGCCCCAGGCCTGGGCGGTGACGGCCCACGCGCGGAAGGCCACCTCGCCCAGCTCGTTGTCTGGGACCATCGTCAGGCTGCGTAGGATCCGCTGCAAGGGGTGTTGGGTGGTCAGGCCTAGGGACTGGGCTACGGTGGCGCCGTAGTTGAGGAGGGCCTTCATGACGGCCCAGAACTGCTTTCGGTTCGTGAGGATACTTGCTTCTTGTTCTTTTTCTTGTTCTTGTTCATCTTTTTCTTGGTCGCCGTCGATGTCGACAATCCCATCTTCAGTATGGATCCTCCTCCTCTTCTTCCTCCTTCCCCTGCTGCTGCTGCTGCCGCCAGGTGGCACGAAGCAGCAGCCCGCCTGCAGGATGAACATGTACAGGGAGCACAGGATGGTCGAGGGTTGGCACTGGATCAGGGCGTCGACCTCGGCGGGGGCCCTGCGCATGTGCACGAGGGCACTGGCCATGTCGCCGCGCTCCAGGCTGTTCTTGACGTCGGCGGTGAAGAGGCCCCAGCGCATGGCGTGGCCCTTGTCGCGGGTCAGGAGCCTTGCCGCCTCGGGCAAGCTCCTCAGCTCATGCTCGTGGCGGCCAAAGGTGTAGGTGCGGCTGTGGACAAAGACGACCTCGTAGACGCGGAGGGCCTCGGGGCTCTTGACGCCCCAGGGGACCAGGCGGCGTTCGTGATCTTGTTGCTGCTGTTTCCGTTGATGTTGTTGAAGTAGTAATTGTTGTCTGCGTAATCTCTGGTGCTCCTGAGTGTTTCGTGCCATGATCATGTGTTGTTGCCTCTGCCTACTACTCTGAAAGGGGTTGTTGTTTGTGGTGGCGGCGGCGGTGGTGGTAGAAGTGAATGTAGCAGGCATAGAAGTAGTAGTAGTAGTAGTAGTAGTAGTAGTAGTAGTAGTAGCAGCAGCAGCAGCAGCAGCAGCAGTAGCAGTAATGCTGGTGGGAGAGTCTTTGCTGCTGCTGCTGCTGCTGCTGCTGCTGCTGCCATTGCTGCTCCTCTTACTCTCATAATGACCTCCACCAATACCAACATCTTCATTCGACACCCGCGCCCGCTTCCGCCTGACATGCTCCGCCAGCCTGTCGACATCCACCACCTGCCCATTCGCAAGCCGCACCTGGATCTTCTCCGAGGTTTCCACGGCATCGACATAGCGGTTCTTGAAGGCCTCGTGGACGGCGCGGTCGTCTGCGCCGGGCCGGATCTGGATGTTCTTGCGCCAGCCCCAGTCAGCGATGCGGCGCTTGAAGGAGCGCTCGGTCGCGACAAAGTTGTGCTCGGCGCGCATGATCTCCATGACCTCCTTGAGGGTGCGCTTCTCGTCCATGTAGAGGCGCTGGATCGTGGGCTTGTACTCGGCCCACTTGGTCCGGCTTGGGCGGGACTTGGAGGAGGCAGGAACGGGCTTCTTGCGGAGGACGAGGTCTGTCGTCGGGGGTATAGAAAGAGAGGAGGAAGAGGGGAACCAGGAAGGGGGTGATGACGATGATGATGTGGTGCTTGTGGTGGCCATCATCATGGTGATAGCCTCATCACTTCCGGCTCCTCCTCGTAGTGGTCCTCCTTCCTGCAAACCACCTTCTCTGCAGCCTACATATTCCGCCTCGAGTAGTTGTTGTGCAGATGAGAATACCGACATCATCTCTGATTCAAAATGCCCTCCTTCTTCTGCTCTTTTTTTTTTTCTTTTTTCTTCTTCTTCATATACAGTCCCTACCCTTTTTCCCCCCCCCCCCCCACGTTGTGAATGGATGACTGGAACAACAACCCTTTTTTGGCGTGAGGGTGGGAGAGTGAGAGAAAATGAGATGGAATTATACGTAGGCTGGGTATGTTTTCGGATAGTATGCAAGTGAGTGGGGCAGAAGACCAGACGGTGTGGAAGAGTCTGCTGCAGGCAGTCGGGAAAGGGTGTGAGCTGCGCTGGGGGGTTTTGGGGAGGTCCGGAGAATTACAATAATACAGTCTCTCGGCCTCTCTTTTACTTCCACACTCTTTCTGTCCCTCTCGTCTCTCACAAACGCTCAACGATAAGCACAGGAATGGTGATGTCGGACCTCGTCTGTCAGTCTCGTCTCAGAAGAGCGACAGGATGAATGAGCACCTCTCGCTCAGCCTCTCTCCCTTTGATGGTGGGATCCCTTCTGGGAGCAGCGGGGAAAGAACGAGGCCCTTGCGGCGACGATGATGATGGTCGAATGCGATGATTATGCTGACGATGGCAGTGACATGTATGACCTGACAATTCGGCAGATTTAGGTGTGGCGCTCTATCTGCATTTCGAAGCCAACAGGCAAGAGAAGGGGAGGGAAATGAAAATGCATGAAAAGGGAAAGCAACTTTCCACGTGCCATCGTACGAGGAAGGAGGGCAGCATGATACGCTGATTGGAGACATCCCCTGGGAAGGATGCTCAACCCTGCCCCTTGCCGGTGCCGTAGTCTTCTACCGATGAGGGACGCGTCGGAGAAGGTACGGTTTGATCTGTCTTTTCTTAATCGACGGTTTTGGCCCCCAAAAAGTGAATAAGGAGAGTGTGGGACAGCTTGGAGGGGCCGGATCGGATTTGATGTCCCGCGAGGGCTTTTTTACTTCTTGGGGTTTTTTTTTGGTTCAGTGTTTTAGCGAGTGTTCCGTCTGACAGGGAGAGGAAGATGATATCAGCCACTGTATGGGAAGGACTGTTAGTTCTGTAATACCCACCGGCACAAAACCTGGGATTGATAATCGCTAAATCGAGGTTGACCGACTGTGTAAGTATTGTATGATTTGGCTAGATGTTAAATAGAGATACTCCGTTTCTTGGTGAACACAGAATAAATCAAACTCAAATTCTTTTCTGTTCGTTGACTGACTGACACGACGTAACCCGTATGATATAGGTAGGATGATAGGAAAGGAAAGAACAATTGTGACAAGGTGAGAGGGGACAAAAAGGAAGAGAAAGGGAAAGAAATAAAAAATAAAAAATAAAGAAACAGTATACATTGAAACCCCCCCCCCCCCCACACACACATATATATATATACACCAACCACACATAAAATGCGTCAGGAAGGGTGCCTCCTGAATAATGAGATAAGGAAGAGGAAGAAGGAAAAGAAAACTCAACAACAACGACGACAAAGGGAAATATAAGACACAGAGTGGGTCGTTCCAGGTTTGTTTGGCTGGATACTTGCAAAGTAGTTTTTGTTTGGCGCTACACATAACACAAGGTCCCCCTCCAATCATATCAACAGAGGAACAAAGGAAAAGAAAAGGATAGCCAGTTTTCGTCGTCGTTTACACGTTCTTTTCACTCTCACTCCCCGATCGTATCCATCGATGACCTCGTTGATAGATCTGCCCCCGGCCCTCCGTTCTCCCCTAATATGACGCCCCAGGACAAAGAAGAAATTACACTCATCCTATATCGAAGCAGAAAGAAAAAAGAAATTAAGTTAGCACACTCTAAATAATCTGTACACAGAGGATTTATATGTAATTTGGATTCTGGGAGGTGAAGCGGAGGGGCGGGGGGGGGGGGGGGGTAGAGGAAGAAGGGTGGTGAAGGGTGGTTGTGTACTGTATAAATGAGTTCACCAAAACGCAAGGTAACGGAACCAGCGAAGAAACTCACAGATGCACACCAGAGAGGGAAAGAGAGACAAGAGACGAGAAGAGGGAGAGAGTCGTGTATGGTGGTGGTGGTGGTGGTGGTGGTGGTTTGGTGGTGGTTTGGTTGCTGGTCCAGAGAGAGAGAGAGAGAGAGAGAGAGAGAGAGAGAGAGATAGAGGAAGAGAAGAGAGAAGGAGGGAGGTTTGATCCCTTTTCTCTCTCTCTCTCTCGCGCGCCCTTCTAGAAGAGGCCATACAGACAGATAGGAACCTACCGCCGGCCGCTCTTGTTGATGATCTGTACTGCCTCGTCCCATCCATGCCCATTGACCACATCCAGGACCGTCTGCCCGTTCTCGTCCGTCTTCTCCAGGTCGACGCCGTTGCCCTTCTCGACCAGCAGGCGCAGCACGTTGGCGTCGCCGTTCTCGACGGCCTGCAGGACGGCGTTCCAGCCGCGGTACATCAGGTTGATGTCGGCACCCCGCTCGAGAAGCAGCTCCAGGAGCTCTGTGTCGTTGTTGCGCATGCGCCGGATGGCCTTGATGATGGGGAGGTGCTCGCCGGGGGCGTTGACGTCGGCGCCGGCCTCGTCGATCAGGTAACGCGTGATCTCCTTGTTGCCCTCGCGAATGGCACTCGTCAAGGGGGAGAAGACGCCTCCGTTCTTGTCCTCGACGTTGAAACCGGCCGAGAGGAGCAGGCGGATGCTCTCGAGCTGGTCGGCACACACGGCCATCTCGACGACGCCCTTGAAGTTCTTGGGGTTGGCGATGGACGGGAGCAGCTTCTTGAGGATGTTGGGCCTCTTGACGGCCAGGTTGATGGGCCAGTCCTGGCCGCGGATGGCAGGGTCGGCACCGCGCGCGAGGAGGAGGTCGACCATCTCGGGACGGTTGTCGCGGATGGCAGTGGTCAGGGGTGTCCAGCCCTCCCTGGACTTGACGTTGACGCCCACACCGTGATCCAGCAGGAAGATCAAGGCGTCCAGGTTGTTGTGCTGGACGGCCTTCTCGACGATGCCCTTGGGCTCCGTGGGGTCGGCGCCCGCCTCGATCAGCTGCGGGAGGAAGTGGGCGCGGTGATGAGACACACACTTGAAGCAAGGGTACTCGGAGGCGGGCGTGTTGGGATCGGCACCGTTGGCCAGGAGGAGGGTGACAATGTCGGCGCGGTTGTCGCGGATGGCGGAGCACAGGGGCGTGTAGACACCGTCTTTCTTGGCGTTGGGGTCCACGCCTGCGTTGAGGAGGATGCGGACCGACTCGATGTTGTTGACCGAGGTAGCCAGCTCCATGATGCCTGGGGCGTTCTTGTGGTCGGCGCCCCGGGACAGAAGGAGACGGAGGAAGGGAGGATAGTAGGTCGAGGGCCACAGGAGGTGCTTGGGGCCGGGCAGGTTGGGGTCTGCACCACGGTCGAGGAGCAGATGGGCAATGTCGAGACGCTGGACGTTGACGCACTGGAACAAGGGCGAAGTACCCTCGCCGTTCTTGATGTTTGGGTCGCCGCCGTAGTTGAGGATCAGCTCGATGACCCGCTTGGGCGTGTTGCGGTCGATGGACCGGATCAGCGTCGTGTTCCCGTTGGCCATGATCTGGTTCGAGTTTCCTCCGTACATGAGGAACAGCTGGACCAGATCGAACTTGTTCTCGAGCACGGCCAGGGCGAGCGGGGTGTCGGCGTTGGGGCCAGCAGACATGTTCGGGTCGGCACCGTACTTGATGAGCAGCTTGGCGGCGTCCAGGAAGCCGAGCTCGGTGGCCGAGAACAGGGGAGAGCAGCCAACCTTGTCGATGGCGTTGGCATCGGCCCCAAACAGGAGGAGGAGGCGCACCGTCTCGAGATCCCGGAGCAGGACGGCCTCGCGCAGCAGGTTGATCTCTGCCACCGAGTCTGGCTGCACGCCTCGGTCCAGGAGCTGCTCTATCGCGGTGTGGCTCTTCTTCTGCACGGCCTGCACCAGGGCTGCCTTGTACTGCGGGTTGCCGTTGCCCGTCGTGAACCGTGGTGTCCACCTGGGAACGGTGCTGGGGTCTGCCTTGAGCCGCGTCACGTGGCCCACGTCGCCCAGGATGTCGTCATGTTGCTGCTGCTGGTGGTCATTGAGGTCCGTCTCGCTGAGCAGGTCCTCGAGCAGGGTGTCTGTGGCGGTCGTGTGCGTCGAGGCGCTGTCCCTCTGCACCGTGCTGTGGCTTGCGCTGAGGGGGCTGGACATCTCGGACGCTGTCACCTCCATGGCCATAGACTGGCTGGGCCCCTTGGACGAGCGTGCGCTCCTGATGGTCGAGGCTGCACGTCCTGGCTGCGAAGCTCCTGCTCCCTGTTGTTGCTGGAGCGACAGAGGGATGTTGAAGTCGTCCACCATACTGCCAGTACTCGTCGCACCGGTGAAGCGGTTGGTGCCCAAAAAGTCCATACTCTGCACGGGAGAGCGCTCGAGGTGGGACAGAGGCGGCAGGGACGGTGGCAGGGGAAAGTCTGTGTGGTGGTCCATGACGCCAGAGGGGCGAGGGAGCTCAGGAAGGGGCGCCTGAGGGGTCGTCTGGCGGGGGGGTTGCTGCTCATCGTCGGCAGCGCCCCGCGAGGAAGGAGCAACCGTCCTAGGCTTGTTGCCGATGCCGTTCATGCGGTCCAGGGCAGCAGCGAGGCCTGTGTAGCCGATGCCGATGGTGGCGTCCACATCCTCCTCGCCAATGGACCACTTGAAGACCAGCGAGCTCATGCGCAGGCTCTCGCGGCTCCTCTCGAGGCTGGCGCGCACCTTGTTGACGTCCGAGTCGGCGAACATCATCTTGAACCCCTTGGAGAAGCGTGCGAACCCAGACTTCTTGTCATTCTCCAGGAACCGCGTCACCAGCTGGTTCAGCACGATAAACTCGTCATTCGTCTGCCGGAACCGCTTCTCCAGCTCTGTGGTCAAGTCGGCCGGGAGCATGTGCTTGTTGTCCGCCTTGGACGCCTTCATCCCCGACTCGATCACCCAGAGAATCCGACCAACATCGAGAAATACCATCGCCAGCTCTCGGATCCCCTGTACCTGGTGCTTTACCGTGCTGAGGTACTCGAGCATCCGGATGGCAATGCTGTTGCCCAGCACCACAGCCTTGTCGCACAAGTCGACGGCTGTTTCCTTCTTTCGTGCCATGGTTGCAGCTGTGGTTGTGATAAAGAAGATAAAAAGAGAAGAATGAAAAAGGGGGCGGTAGGGAAAGAAATATTTGGCGAAGTGATTGTATTATAATCTGCAGCAAACCAGGCCTGCTGCGTGTTGTTATGTTGTTGTCTTTTTTTTTTTTCTTTCCTTTTCTTTCTTATGTGTAAGTCGTATGTCCCAGCTTGGTTTGTAAAGGACCGAGGCTGAGCTAAGACCTTCACCGGCCAGGCGGGTTGCGCCTATGTGTTCTCCTTTGTTGGAAGACTGGGAGAGGGTGACGGAGACCTCCGTTGGATCCAGATGCGGCAATGAGTGAGATTGCTGCTACAATAATACTTTGTTCCCCTGCGTCAAATGAGGACACCGCCAGTATCGTTTCAGATAGGTTGATGCGCGGGTGTGGTTGCCCTTCGCCCTACTCTTCTTCTCAAGAGCTTGTTGTTACTTTAAGCTTTTGAGTTGCCAACCCCCAAGGTGGATTAAATAGGTCGTACGAGTAGAAGTAGTAGTAGTAGGGGAAAGAAGAGAAGAAGCAAGTAGTTGAAGAGATATTTGTGACTGAGATTATGCAAGGAGGATGAATAGCACCAGACCAGGCCAGGCCAGTACTGCGAGACAACCCAGAAAAAAGTACAGACCACTGCCGGTTTTTTTTTTGGGGGGGGGGGTAAGAAAGTATCTTTTTCTTCTGTCTGGTCCGTGAGACAAAAGAAAAAGAAAGAGAGAAGGGGAGCGAGAGAAGGAGGGAGCAGGGAGGAGGAAGCAAATCACGAGTCAAAAGAGAGGGGGGTGAAATGGGTACAAGAAAAAAGAAGTGGTCCAGGGACCGGCGCATCACTATATACTGTGGTGCATCTGAGGTGTGTGTGGTGCTAGCTCTGTGCGCAACAGAAGTCGAGTAATGGTTGACCATCTCCCGTGTTTACGAGGAGACGTAGGAGCAGGCCTAGAAGGTAAGGCCATGCATGTACTGTGGTACCCTTTTCTACTTGTTCTTCGCGCTGGCTAACAACAACATCAGATGGCATCTGACAATTAGGTCCGGGTCCAGTTCCAGGTCCCAGGTTCCAGGTTCAGCACGGTACTCCAGACTCCAGACTCCTCTCTCCTCTCTCCTCGCCTCTCACTCTCTCACACACAATCTCTCTCTCTCTCTCTCTTCTCTCTCTCTGGCTCTCCGCGGCGCGGCAAAAAAGAGCAGAGAAAAAACTGGGATTTGAACAGGATGGCCCCTGGATGTTGCAAGTGCTGATAACAATGAAATAAATGGCCGCTCCTTGGCCACATGGATACTGTGGAGACGCCGCTTGTTGGTGAACTGAACCTCTAAACAGCACTAAGTAAGACGGCGGCATGTTCCCACCGGAGCAAACTGTGGGCCAGCTTAACTTTTAGGCTCTTTTACTTTTCCTCTCCCTTCTGTGTCCACTCTGCTCGTTCTCCTCTGTCTGACTTGCGTGCTATAGTAGAGAGAAAGAGAACGAGAGAAATGGAATAGAACACAGCTTCTCTCAATTTTCCTCGAGGGCCTAGAACTGTTGAGATTGGGCTAATTTTAACGATTAGGCCATGGTAACAGTAATTGGTACTGCCAGTGTCAGCTCGTACGTATGTCTATATACTTTTACTCAGCCGCTTTTCCTCTCCCTCTCCTTCTGTATCATTCAGGCACTCACACGACAGCAGACGAAGGGGTCTCCCCGTCAGCTTTGATTAAGATGTTATAGTACCGCTATTCCTTGCCGAGTAGCATGAATCACAAGCAGGATACGCGGATGAATGGGTGCGTCTGTGCGGGAAACAAGACGGATTGGATTGGGCTGATTGATTGATTGAATGGATGGAATGAAATGGATGCTGGAGTGGATGGGGTGTGGACACAAAACTCGCATCCAGGAACACACCTCGGGGCCTGTTGCCTCTGTTTGGTCTAGTCTCTGAAGCTGGTATACTAATGTCGTGTACGATGACTGACAAAATTTCCGCGATCGATTGTCCAAGGCCAAGGGGAAGAGGCCCAAGCTAAACAGACGAGACTGAGATGACGGACAGGTAGGCAGGACATGCCCTGTTCCTCCATGATGGATTGTGTTTTCAGCTCATCGCTGAACCATCGGCCTGGCCACGTTTTGGGTAGCATTTGGCACGCCAAAATCCCTCGTATGAGCAGCCCAGCGACGGACACGGCACGTAGCGGGCGCTGGCGTGGGAAGTATTCCCGGCCGAAATCCTTCTGAACTTTGGATGCCATTGGGGGCGGGGCCAAGGCGGCTGCTGCTGCTGCTGCTGCTGCACCAAGCATTAATAATATTCCTGCCTCCTCATGTTTCGAGATGCCCTGAGAACATTGGCTGCCTGGCCAGGACCATGGAAGATGTGTGTATGTGTGTGTGTGTGTGCATCACGTACATATGCACGCAATTTGCCCTTCCCTTGGGATTCTGTCTTTTCGGGAGGGGGGCGGCTTTTGGGCATCAACAAGATGGCGATCTGGTCTGGCAAATGGAGGATTCCCATTGCTCCTGATGCGAGACTGAGTCGCAGGGAAGATCTCTGATTCAACAAGGTTTCGCATGGTTGTTTATTGTTTTGAAGATGCGCAATCTGAAGTTGATGAGGAATCACAATGCATGTGCGCACTGTCAGAGCAGGTTTTTTGGGTTGGTTGGTCCACCCAGAATACCTCAACCCCAGATTCGATCAGTTTGGGCCACCAATTGATCGAGGATTACTTGTCTCTTTTTCTATTTTATCTCTCTCTCTCTCTCTCTCTTCTCCCCCACCCCTCCCCCTCCCCTCTTTCCTCCTTCCTGTCTGTCCTTCTCCGTTTCTCCTGCTACGTATACATGCTTGCATATATACAATACCACCTACGTAACAAACATGACAACCCACAGGGAGGAAAACAAGCTAGGCCTGTTCCTCGATCGTCGACCAACCCCTCTTTCTCTTCCCCCGATCTTCCTTCCCACCCCCTGGCCCAGGAAGGTAGGAATGCAAGCATCATGTTGGTGATACTGGCCTGTCCCGCTACAGCGGCTCTACTCTCTTTCCCTCCTCTCTCCCCACCCTCGAGTTGTGTGTGCCCGTGTGGGTTACATCGTCTGGGCCCGGCCCCCCGGTTCCCATCTCCCTCAGCTGGAACCGATTTTGCCTCGACAATGACAGCCAGGGGCCCTTTTTTCTTTCCCCTCCAAGACCCTGCAGACGCAGATGAGCACGAAACCTAAAGCAGTGATAGCGGTGGGTGCACGGGCTATCATCTGCATTTGCATGAACCCACTCAAATCGGCGGGTTCCTTTTGATAGCTCCTCTTCTGCCCTACCCTGTTCTCTTCCTTTCTCTGGCTGTGTGTCTCTCTCTCTCTGTGTGTGTGTGTCCCCTCAAAACTCGGACCTCATAAGTTGACTCCTGAGATTTTGTTTCTTATAATTCTTTTGCCGAGTACGAAGCGACGGATGGCCGCGTGTCATGTTCTGCAGATGTGGCGTCCTTGATACCAGTCCTGAAATGTCGAGGCCCCGGCACTCTTTTTATTTTTTGAATTGTTACTCTCTTTCATTCCCTTGTCTCCATCTCTTTCCGTCTCTGTTTTCCAACCCGGTTTTTCTTTGACTTAGTGCGAACACAAACACACACACACACACACACGCAGCTGTTCCGGCTGGCCGGTGTAGAACGGCCTAGCCTCAGCCAGGACCCGCGGCGCCGTCTGCTTTCTTCTACAGGGGCCAGCCGTGCTCCCAGACCCTCTGAAACTAATGTGAGCTATCGAATCGGATCTTGATCCATGGAGGTTGAGGCCTGTGGGAACAAGGATGGACCAAGGCTGAGCGTGCTGCAGTATAGCATGCAGCAAGCAGCAGCAAAACAGCAGCAGTGCGGAGGTACGCGAGGCCGATTAGTTTCTCTCGACCTGTAAGGGCATGAACTTGGGGGTCAAATTCACCTCGGAAGTCGGCGGGCCCTTGGTTCCGCCATAGGCTAGCCCACTCGAATGTGTCGTCCCAAGAACCTGGTAATTGAGATGTAAGGATCCGCTGTGATGTTTCTTCTCTCTATGTCTCTACTCTTCTAATTATCGCAGCACACAGTGAAGGACTGTATAGAGCGACCAAGAGAGACAATCGCCAGGTGGGGGGGGGGGGCTCGAGGTCTGGCCAGAGGTCTTAAAAAACAAAAGTAGATTCCCCACGGGTTCCTCGTCTAAAACCAACAGCTCCTCTTTGATGCCTCGCTTGCCAGTACAGTGGGTAGATAAAACAGGGTCTCGAGTGCACGGCCGAAGTTGTCTCCTCTCACCTCTCACCTCTCACCCTCTCTATCTGTCATATGACAATCTCGAGGCGAAGGAGGAGAGGGGGAAAAAGAGGGGGAAAATAAGCGAACCCCCGGGCCACCTCTCTCCCCTTCCATTTACTCTGGTCCGTCAGCATAATGACGGAAAGGATGGACGCTGCCGGAAATGATGCTTTTGTTCTATGAAACTTTACCATAGTACTTACTACTTGTGTATGACGTTGCGAAGGGGGAGGGGAGCAAAAGAGAATCGCCTAGGAGTATTTTGTTTTGGTTTCTCTGGAGGGGGGGGGGTGATCAGTCCTCCACCCGAGGAGTAAATGGTCCCGCTCCACCCGCGATTGACTTCCGTCACAAGCGATGCAACCCTTCAGAAATGTCACCGAAGGAAAAACGGAGTGCGTCTGAGCGCTGCATCATAGTAACAGTAAAATCGAGCCTCCACTGGCCCTTTGCACCACATCATTGGACGACAAAGCTTCTTGGCTTGACGTTGATCTGGTGGATTCGCGCGGTAGGTGCTCTACTAGACTTGGCTTTACAGTACATGCACGACTCTTTTCTTTGAGCCTCAAACACAAATACACACACACACACACACACACACACACACAAAAAAAAAAAGGAAAAGAAGGAAAGAAGGAAAGGAAAAATCCAAAAATGAAAGCCCCCACCAAAACCCTGTTTCTGAACGAGGCTGCAGTACATCGCCGTAGCTATGTGGACTTTTAGCTCCAACGCACAGGACGCTGTCACCTGTCATAGCGGAACTTGTCAGACTTGCAAGTCTCGCATGGCGGGTGGAGAGCAAGCGGCCAAAGGACCAAGTTTGGCCCTCCTGCCACGTGGAAACACCTGTCCCTTTTTCCCTCGGATGCAGGTTCCTTGCGTGTATTGTGCTTTTGGGGGATGATGGAATATGGGTTGGGGACTCCACACGACATGGCCTGGGCCCTATGGAGTTCCCCTCTGGGGGAGGGGGTGGGGGGGCTTGTCCTGTTTCTCGTCGATATTTCCACCTGGACCGTTTGACCTTCTGTCTGTCTCTCGACCAAAAAAAAGAAAACAAAAACCTAAAATAAACAAAATAGGGCGTGAAAGAAGGAGAGGAGAGTTAGTCCAAGGTTTAGCCGGCAGATATGGTCCCAAGTACCTGATCAAACTCAGGGGGCGACCGGATATGTGGGAATTAAGTTTCTACGGGACCAGGGCTATCCAGGGCCATCTGGTGATCATCTTACGATTTTCCAAGTCCAGGCAAGCCCCAAATGACGGGGGAGGCTGACAGGAAGTAGGCACAGGGCTCCATGACCTGCGATAATATCTCCCAGTTGCTTAAAGATCTTGATGGGACAAAGGGACAATGCAGATTCTCTCGGGGCGAGACAACTGGGGTGTGGCGGGCTTCAGTCAAACATGGGGAGACTCCCTCCCCCACCTCCCGTCGTCCAAAGAGACGTTGGCCTGGATCAAGAGGGCAAGAAGTCCTCGAATCGCCGCGCGTCTTTTATAAGTATTCTTCGGCTTTGCTTTTTGGGAGAGGTAGACTTGAATTGGTTTCTTTAGCGACCTGGCATATCAGGTGAGACATGGAGATGCCGGCTAATGGTGCAGATAGATACTCCACGTTCTCAAGGGCGCTCGCGGTTCTGCTATGCTACAGACACATATATGGCATTATGGCTGCTGGTACTTACTGTGGCTATGTATGGTACGCATTGAGTCAACCCCAGGAACCCACAGTAACCGGCACGCACTGGCACTGGTTACTATCTGACTCGCTAGGCATGGAAGTCAAAACAGAGAGAGCAAAAAAGGGGGGAAACAAGAAACCAAAAAAGACGCCCACATTTCCACGTGGTTCGACTTTTGGAGCTAACCAAAATGTGGCTTGCACATACCATACTATGAGATAGATTGGAATGTCGTCAGACTTTTTCGAAAATTTGTGGCTTCGGTGCCGTATCATAATGTGTTCTTCACACACTATGCAGTATCAAGTTTTGGTGAATTTTTCAACAACCAAGATACTGTACAGTTAAGTTGAGAGGACCTTGACCTAATTGATCCTTTCCCACCTTTGATAGAAGCCCCGACCCACATGGTTTCGGGAAGAAAAGAAAAAGAGAAAAGGAGTTGAGCCATCAGACCCCTCACAGAGGTGCTGATCTTGTTTCTCTCTCTCTTTTCTGGAGACCCTGGGAACGGAAGTGGTCCCTGAGCGGGTCTGATGTTCGCCTTTGTGAAGCTTTCTGACAGTATGATCCTTGGCTGAAGATCCTCAAGGCAAGGGAACAACATGCCTCGCAAATGAGCTGTACCGTACAAGAGGTCGGGTATACTATGCTACGCACGTACGTGCGCAGGTCCTCAGTGTCGTGTCAATACTGTGTATATCCTTACTTTCCGAGGCTCGTCAAGAGCAGCTTCAAGGGTAGCGAGATCAATGGTTCCGCTTTGTCTGACTCGAACACACCACACGGCACATCAGACAAGAATAGCCTTGCAAATTTCCCAGCCATCCTCGCCTCGGCACAGGGAGCGGGTTTTGGAGTGTGGTCCAGTTCGCTAAGGGAAGGACGATCGTTTTACTGATAAAAAGTACAATCATGTTGTGAGGTTTTAAGTATATCATATAATATTTCCATTAGATTTATCCAACCCCCCCCCCCTTCCCCTCGTTCCACCTCATATTCTATGGCTTCCAGCGAGTGTATCATGAGATTGCAGAGAGGCAAGAGCAGTAAATATCAAACAGGAGAGACAAAAAGACAAATAACATAAAGTGAAGGAGAAAAGAGAAGAAGGGAATAAGAAGATCCGTGCACCGTCTATCTCATATGCGCCAGGTATTTCATATCAACATGCAATCAGACCAAGTCCTTATATCCAACAAACCCCAACCCCTCCCTACCACGTGATCTTTGCAATCTTGTTGACATATTTCGGGTTCTTGCTGTTCAAGAGGTTCTCTGCAAACCACCTGCCAGCATCCTCGCGCGAGATGGCATAACCAATGGCAGTGGACTCCCGCCCTCGCACTGGATCCTCGATGCCGACGCGGATGGTCTTGTTGGACTCGCCATTCATGAGGAAGCTGGGCTGGACGACGGTGAACTCCTCGCCGCTGGCAAACAGCCTCTCCTCCATGATCTTCTTGTCGGCGTGCGGCACCTTGAGCATCAAGTGGTACAGCGGGACCATGGCGAGGGGGATGTCGCGCCCGAACTTGGACATGCCTGTGGTGCTGCAGACGATGATGTGCGGCCTGCCGGTGGCGCCCTGCCTGCGCAGCTGGTCCAGGGCCTCGAGCAGCGTGCTCATGCCCTTCTGGCACACCTCTGGGTCGTCGAGAAACTTGGTCGACATGGCGGGCTTGCCGCCGATGGTGGAGACGACCTTGTCGACGATGTTGCCGTCGCTCTCCTTGCGGAGGAGCTGGGCCACGGCGCCTACGTCGTGGGCGTTGCCCTGCAGGACCTTGAGGTTGGGGTAGGAGGAAGGCGGGAGGATGTCTGTGAGCTTGGGGGGAGTGCGGCAGAGAGCGATGCACTGGTGGCCGGCGGCGAGGGTGTGCTTGAGGGCTGCCAGACCTATGCCGGTGCTGGCTCCGAGGAATGCGACGGTCATGGGTGAAGTAGACATTTTTTTTTTTTTTTTTTTTTTTTTTTTGGGAAAGGGAAGTGTGGTTTTGATGAGTAGTGATGATGGTGGAGCGAGGAATGAAATCAAGTATAGGAAACAAGAAGTGATTTCAAGTGATATCAAGCAAAGTTCTTTTGTGAGGTTTGTGGATTTGGTTGTTGAGCCTTTTTCTTTCTTTTTGGAATGCTGTTCTTGCTTGTTTGTTTACTGTGATGTTGATGATGACCTATTTCGATACTACATTCTCCAAGAGCTGGAACCACCATTTACTTATACTAAATGTTTGGCATGTCCCATCTCAGCCTTGCCAGGCGAGATTACACCCGCAACCAGCTCGAAGCCTTAGCGAATGCGGTGGGCTTGGTGATGTGCCGAAAGAAGAGCGAGTGAGTGACGGCGGGAGGTAGACAGCGCTAGAGGGGTTTTGACGTGTGGTCTCCAGGAATAGACTCGGAGTCCAGCCCTCGGAGTGCAATTGGTCCGGCCGTCAACGCAAAACGTGGTAGCCTGCCTGCTTACGCATTACACTTCTTAGGAACGAAGGGGACCCGTTCTTTTCTATCTGTAGAAGCCTAGTCTGGATGATGTACGATGCTAATTGATTGGGCGGTTCGGGAGAACCCAGATCCTATTCGCACTTTGCGGCTTGCTGTGGTTGTAAACTCTCATAGTAACCAACAGGATTCCGGACTGTTGTACTTGCTATGCTATTGGGAGATGTACAAGACACCACCCCAATGAGCACAATCACATATGACAACGACCCAGGTGCAGGGAATTCAGGGCCAACACCGATGTCCAGTAGTACCGATGGGGTCGCGGGCGTCTCGGCCTCGGCAGCCTCCCCCTCCGAAAAAGACGCGAGGCTAACCACCACATCTGCAGCCCATGCATCCGGGTCCACGCCGAAGCTGCGGAGCTGTGTCGTATGCCGCCGCCGCAAGGTGCGCTGCGACAAGGCCAACCCGTGTTCCAACTGTCGGAGGGGAAATATCGCCTGTGTCTTTCCTTCCAACGACCGCCCGCCGAGGTGGGCCCGACGGCTTGAGCGCCTCACCAACGATGCCGCCGCCAACCCGTCCCCCTCGTTGTCTTCTGGGACAGCAGCAACCGCAGCACCTCAGGCCCATCCTGTTCAGCCGCAACAACATGTCATGGAGAGGCTGCGGACCCTTGAGGGCCTCGTAAGAGAGCTGAGCAGCCAGCTGGAGCAGGCCAGTGCCGTCGCGTCTGCGCCTGCGTCTTCAGGGAACTCGCCAGGCAGTACTACTGGTAGCCACGGCCAGGATGCTGGCGGTGGTGAGTTGCCGTCTATTGCGGGTACTGCTGGACTTCAGAAGCAGTTTGGGAGGATGGTTCTCAAGGATGCCAACAGAAGCCGGTACATCAGTTCCGGCTTCTGGTCTCGAGTCGATGTATGTTCATGTCACTCTCTGGATCAGTTTGAACGCCCCCAACACAAGCAATTCGTTACTGACGTCTGGGCATTGTAGGACGAGGTATGTGTGTGCGCGCGTGCAGGTATACGACGAGCTGGGGCAGGGCTGTTTGTTGACCACTCATCCATCTCCCTCTAGCTTCATGGCCTCAAGATGGACCTCGCAGGCAACGACTCGGACTCGTCAGACGACGACCAGCCTCAAGGGCTCACGCCGTCCACTCAAGAGCTCGACAGGACGCCCTCGGAGCGACATGGGTTCCTCTTTGGGCACAACCTGGGCCCGTCCAGGGTAGACTCGCGCGAGTTCCACCCGCTGCCGTCGCAGATCCCTTTTCTCCTCAACACCTACTCGGAGAACGTCAACCTCTTCACGCAGGCTGTGCACATGCCCACCCTGACCAAGGTGGTGCGTGACCTGCGCGGGACGGATGCGTCCAACCTTGCGCCTGCCGACGAGGCTCTGTTGTTTGCGGTCTACTACGCCGCCGTGACCTCAATGGAGGAAGACGACGTACGTGTGGAGTGGTCCATGGATGCGCTGACCTGAAACTTTCCGAGAAGCCTTCTCACACTCGCCCCCATGTCTAGGTAATCAACAATTTCGGCACCACAAAGGGGGAACTCAACCTCAAGTTCCGCCTGGGTCTCGAACATGCCCTCGCCCGAGCTGACTTTCTCAACGTCCCCGACCTGATTGTGCTTCAGGCCTTTACCGTCTTTCTTGCCCTCGCCCGCCGTCATGATAGTCCTCGGTTTGTGTGGATGATGGTCGGGCTCGCCATCCGAATCGCGCAGGCTCTTGGCTTGCATCGAGACGGCTCCCACTTCAAGCATCTGAGTCCGTATGAAGTTGAAATGCGAAGGAGGGTCTGGTGGACTATTTGTATGGTATGTAGTTCCCAAGAGGATCCTTGTGATCATGTCTTTCTTCCCCATTTTCGTTCCTTCTTCTCTTTTGCTAACGCCCGAACAGCTTGGTATGTCTTGCCGACAATGTCGTCTCCCTGTCTTTCTCCCCAAAGATTTTGGATTTTGGATGTCTTTCATTCTTCTAACAAGTCCATCAAGATGTACGAGCCTCCGAGGATCAAGGCACAGACTACACCATCGCAGCAGAAAGCTTCGATACCAAATTCCCTCTCAACATCAACGACGCCGACATCAGCCCCGAGACCAAAGAAACGCCCACACCCCGCGAGGGCATGACCGACATGACATTCCCCATCGACATCTTCAAGGTCTGCGACGTCACCAGGCGCATGATGGCCCTGGGCGGCAGACAGGGCGCCCCAAGCCTCGACGACCAGCGGCGCCTGCTGGACGAGCTCGCGGCCACGGTCGAGTCGAACTACTTCGAGTACGCAGCCGCCAAGGCACAGATTTCCTTGTGGGTGGGCACCACCTGCATCCACCTCGTCGTGTCCAAGATGTCCCTCATGATCTACTTCCCGACGCTGTTCGCCTCCCCCAGCGAGCAGAGCTCGACCGAGATCCGCAACAAGCTGCTCGTGGACGCCCTTCAGATCGCAGAGTGGAACCACGCCCTCAACGCGGCGCCCAGCGCCCGCCAGTGGCGCTGGATGTACCAGACCTACACCCACTGGCACGCCGTTGTCTTCCTCCTGATCGAGGTCGCCCACCGCCCGCTGTCACCCCTTGTCGAGCGCGCCTGGCTTGCCCTGCACAGCGTCTGGCTGATCCCTGCGAGGCCCGATGTCGACTTCAAAAAGCTGCAGATCTGGGTGCCCCTCCGCAAGCTCATGGCCAAGGCGCGCAGACACAGGGCGGAGGAGATTGAGAGGTTGAAGGGAGACGCGCGGGCGGCGGAGATGCTGGAGGTCGAGGATGGCAAGATGCCCTCTCCGGCGAGCTCTTGTCCGTTTTATTCAGAGGAGGGGCTGCGCGAGCACTGGCGTGGTCTCCTCAGAGGCGAGGCTTCAGCTGGGAACACGACGAGCGCCCAGACAAGGACGACAACGACGACGCAGTCATCTTCTTCTGGCGCAAGCCTCAAGACGGGAACAACCCTTGATGATCGGGCACTCGAAGAGACTGCTGCCCAGCAGCACTACCTCGGCGCCAATAACAATTCCATGTATGGGCCGCCTCAGTCGCTTTCGCAGTTCAACGTCGAGGCAGTTTATCAGAACTCAAACCCTTCGCCCGGCATCGATGGCATGCACCAAAATACCGGTCCGGCGTCTGGGGAGGCGCTGCCGCCGTCGGTTTTTCAGAACTCAGCTCAAGCCTGGGCTGGGTCACCTTTTCTCTGGGCTGACGCAGATCCGGTGGCCGATGTCTTTGGTGATGTCGACGTGCAGATGGATATTGACAGCCTGGGGGAAAGTTATTGGTTCAACTGGGCCAGGAATATGGAGAGCACTGGTAATCAGGGTGGGTTTCAGTAGACGGCGTGCGCACCGTAACGTTATGTTGAAGCAGTAATGCGGCCAATTTTTTTCAAGGAGTTGAGATAACGATGTTGAACGTTCCGTCGTTGGCCATTGTGCATTGATGGTGGTAATTTAAAGCTTTTTTTTTTTTTTTTCTATATCCCTTTTTCCTTCTCTCTTGACGATGTTACTACGAGAGTTCCAGGGGATCCTTGTGCCGATATAATATTCCGCCGAGGTAAGAGGCAGTTCGGTGATATAAACCGCCCCTTGTCGAGATCGATTTTATCCGGATGACACCTACGTGATGCATGCATGCAATGAGGTGGGATCAGATCCACATGCTCTCAACCTTGCTTTGGGAGCGGTAATGGGAATATAAAAAGAACAGTAATTCCATCTAGAGAATATTTACATTGTTCACCTGATATTCGTGAATCGTGATGTAATAATTACAACTCTGCCTCCAACGTCCGTTAGGCATTCATCAAGGTAGAGTCGGTCGAGAGATGGCTCCGCTTATAACGACAGTGTTACGGTCTCTGGTGGTCGCCATTCTTCCATACGTAGTACATGGAACAAATTCGACCTTCTACAACCCTATCCTCCCAGGTTTCCACCCAGATCCCAGCTGTACCTTTGTCCCTGAGTGGAACGAGACTTTCTTTTGTGCCTCGTCAAGCTTCAACGCCTTCCCAGGCATTCCGGTCCATGCAAGCAAAGACCTGCAGAACTGGAAGTTGATAGGTGGGTGATTGGCGTTTCCCCAATAATCTACACTGAATTTATTGCAATGAAGAAAAGAGATTACAAAAGGCAAAGGAGAAAAGGAGAAAAACAAGGGGAGAAATAGAAAGAGAGAGAAAAATACATGGACTACGCTAATTGGTCTGGCAGGAAATGTCCTCAATAGAGAAGAGCAGCTGCCGACACTGGCTTATACAAACAGTTCAACCAGGTACTGAATCAAAACCACCACTCGTTCAATACTTGAAGAGATAATCCGGCAAGACGACTGACTCAAGATCAAAATCAAGCGGTATATGGGCCCCAACGATCAGGTACAACAATGGCACCTTCTGGCTGGTGACAACCCTTGTTTTTGACGACACACGGCCAGCCAACGATTCTTCAAGATGGGATAATGTAAGAGTCCTTGGTCCACAAATGTAACACGAATAGGACTAGGCCGATAAATGTTGAACTTCTTGGTCCCAGATCATATTCAAATCCACCAATCCCTACGACCCATCATCCTGGAGCAACGCTGTCCACTTCCCTTTCTTCGGCTACGATACCTCGCCCTTCTGGGACGAAGACGGGGCGTCCTACATCGTGGGCTCTCACTATTGGAAGATCTACGAGGCTCTCGAACTCGCGACCGTGAACCTCGACACAGGCGAGGTCGGCGACTGGCAGATCCTCTGGAACGGCACGGGCAGCTCGGCGCCCGAGGGCCCGCACCTGTACGCCAAGGACGGGCGGTATTACCTTCTCGACGCCGAAGGAGGGACAGGGCTGGGCCACATGGTGAATATGGCCCGCTCCAGGAACCTGACGGGGCCGTATGAGGGAGCCCCAGCCAATCCGTTACTGACGGCGGCCAATACGACGAGTTACTTCCAGACGGTGGGGCATGCCGACTTGTTCCAAGACGCCCAGGGGAATTGGAGGGGTGTCGCGCTGTCGACGAGGTCTGGGCCTTCCTTTGTTAATTATCCCATGGGCCGGGAGACGGTGATGACGGCCGTGACGTGGGAGGAGGACGAGTTCCCCGTGTGGACAAACATCAGCGGCAAGATGAGCGTGTGGGAGTTGCCCCCCGTAGACAAGGACATTCCAGGCCCGGGCCCGTTCATCAGCGAGGGCGACGACTACCAATTCCCTCCTGGCTCGAGCATTCCGGCGCACTTCACCTACTGGCGGTATCCCAACACATCCTCCTTCACCATCTCTCCGCCGGAGGACCACCCGAATACACTCAAACTCCTGCCGTCCACTCTGAACCTCACCGCCCTGAATGGAAACTACGCAGCAGGCGGCCAGACATTCATCGGCCGCCGCCAGCAAGAGACCCTCTTCACCTACCGCGTCACCCTCGACTACCAACCCACTGCCCTTGACGAAGAAGCAGGCGTCACTGCCTTTCTCACGCAGAACCACCACCTCGACCTCAGCCTTGCCCTGCTGCCCGCCAACCAGAGCACACAGGCGTTCCCAGGCACCAACACCACAAACACCACCACCAACACCACGACGGCGCTGATCCCACAGATCCGCTACCGGGGCATCTCGACCAAGACTGTGCCTGACCCGATTGTCGCGCCTCTTCCGAGCGAGTGGGTGGGAAGACCGTTGACGTTCGAGATCAAGGCGGCCAACATGACGCACTTTTCGTTCTCGGTTGGGCCGGCGGGGGCCGAGTCGGAGATGCAGACGGTTTTGTATGCTGCGAATAGTGCGCTGAGTTATGGATTTACGGGTAAGTTACCGATTTTCATCTCTCCTGGTGTTTCTCCGTTTCTCCTGAAGAGAAGGTTTCATGTGTATAAGAAGTGTCCAAGTTCTTCTTCATTGTCTCCTTCTCTTTCTTTTTTTCTTCTTCCTTGGCTAACGACGAGGGCGTTATGATAGGTACGTTTGTCGGTGTATATGCCACCAACAATGGCGGCAGTGGGACGACGCCGGCTTATTTCTCGGACTGGAAGTATATACCCCAGGGTCAGTATATCAACTGACAGAGTCCTGTGTACATGCATAAAGTACATAATTATCAGCAATTGACGCACTTCTGAACTCTGTCTTTGTGGACATGGAACATTGCGATGAAATGATTGCTCCTATGATATGAGGTCGGGACTTTTGGATTCCTTTTAGTTTTCTTGCTCTTCTTCCTCATCCCTTGCCCCTTCCATAATTTTTAATTTTTTGAAAAGAGAAAGCATAGAAAACTTTAGAAACAGACTTGGCTTGAGACGGTTCTCAATACAAGGCTCCTTTTCTCTCTCTTTTTCCCCCTCTTCTTTTCGTTGTCTCTTCCTTTCTCCCAGCTACAATTATTTTTTTTGAACTACTATATTTATTACGGATACTGCCATATCCGTCTTTTTTCTGAGAGGAAAAATACTTATGAGAAGTAGCAATGATCGTAGCTTTCAATTTCCACTCTCAACACCACAATGTGAATGTTGGTTACGGCCTACATATTATTTTCCTTAGTCGGTCGCCAAGTGCCGGCTGAAGTACAGTGTGACTCCAGGGAGAGCAGGTGTCAAGCCATAGATAGGTGTGCGTCACTAGCGCAAAGTCACCCAACTTGCTCTGAACAACGCGTGAGATTGCCCTCGTCACAACAGCTTCCTCTCTCCTCGGAAGATCTCACAGCACTCCATCATATTCCAGAAGGCCAATCAGTAATTACAGTCCATCCAACATGGCCCTCTCCTCCTCGTCGAGATACAGGGCCGAGCTCCCAGCAGATATCGGCCCCTTCAAACAGTTCCTACAAGAATATAGCCACATACCTGTAGAGGAAACCGACTCTCACATCTGCAAGATCGTACGTTCTCCAGACACTGTCGGCCTTCACAGAGTCCAAGTAGAAGGGGCAAGAGGAAGTAGAAGGAGAAAAGACGAAGAACAATCAAGATCAAGAAAAAGCTGACGTCAGCGCAGAGAGATCAAGCCTACGCAATCGCGCCCTACCCAGGCTTCGGCCTCTGGGGCTTCACTAGAATCCGCCTCCTCGAGGCCGACCCAAACTACCATCTCGCCGTGTCCCGACTGGTGGCGCCAGGCTCGCACGACGTCCTCCTTGACCTGGGCTGTGGCCTGGGCCAGAACATCCGCCAGCTCGCATCCGCTGGTGTTCCTCCCGCGAGGCTCTGCGCATCCGACCTGCGGCCCGAGCTGATGGAGCTGGGGTTCGAGCTGTTCCGAGATCGGGACGTGCTGGGCGGAGAGGACGAGGCGGCGGCGGTGACGTTTGTGGCGGGGGATGTGCTGGACCCGGATGAGGCGGTACTGTCTCGGCTGGATGGGAGGGTCTCGATTGTTCATGCGGCGAATCTCTTTCACCTGTTCGGCTGGGACGCACAGGCCAGGATCGGGATCAGAGTGGCGAGGATGCTGCGCGGCGGTGGGGCGGAGGAAGAGGAGAAAAAGAAGGCATTCGTCTTTGGGAGACAGATTGGGTCGCTACAGCCCGGGGCGCGAGAGGTGCACGAGTCTGCTGCTGAGGAGAAATACCTGCACGACCAGAATAGTTTTCAGAAGTTGTGGGATAAGGTCGGAAAGGAGACGGGGACGAGATGGCGGGTCGAGGTTGAGATGCTGGGGAAGATGCCGCCGGGGTATAGCTATCTGCCAGCTGACACGACCAGGTACAGCAGATTTGTTGCATGGCGCACTTAGATGCCAGCAGATATATTGCATCATTCAGTTGTTGGTAGGAGTGATCTTGTGCGAGTCTGGCTATCAGAAACGATACACAGTACAGTAATTAAGCCTTGGTCATTATTAGCCAGCTGGGAGTGATTTCTCCTCTGAGCTGTCCAACAGATTTTTTGAAAATGCTGCTCGAGAAAACAGTAACAGTAGGTATGCATGCTATTGTAAGGTAGAAATCAGTGCGAACAAGAAGATTAGAGTGATACTGCAATACAGCCCCAAAACTGCGTTCACGAGTATTATAAAGTTGAAGGGTGTGTTTAAATTTGGCAATATACATTTCCAAGCATTTGAAACCCTGAGAGGCTGCTTATTGGGACGCTGACAAACAGCCCCTCTCTGGACCGCCTCAGTACTACAGTGCCCAGAAAGTCAATGTTCCGAAAGTGCCGAGCGAGCAAACTGTGGGGAAACAAGACGACATCTCACGTCTCGGGTAGGCGGTCTGCAGATCATATTTCAAAAAGACCTGACGAATATAAAGTCTAACAGTCATTCACCATTTTCACATCTGTCACCAGTTTATATTCCAACAATCGATTATAGACACGAAGTCTCTTAAAAAAAAAAAGACCAAGATGACGACGCACTTTGCAACATACACATTCCCCTCGCCGGCAGCCGGATACGAAAACGCACCTCCGCTGCCCGAGGAGAAGGCCGAGGATGGCAAGAGCCTGAAGAACCCAGAGACGGGCGTCCTAAGCAAGGCCTATGAAACCTTTATCGATCCTCTGAGCAAAGGACGTAGGGGCGGCTTGTGAGTAGAACCTGCATGGGTGAGGGTTGGGCTGTGTCTCTTACACACCGAGTTACAAGTGCTGATCGAGGAGAATGAAACTGCGCAGCGACATCCACGTTTACTACACAACATCGCAGATGGACTATGCACGGCAGCTCTATGACAGGATTCGAAGGGAGTGTAAGTCATGACTCTTCCTGTAGACTTCTCACCTGCCTGGACCTGGTCTAAAATCAAAGTCCTATGCAGTTCCCGAGTTACGCATCTATAAGTTTTGGGACAAGGTATGTCCTTTTTCTTCTTTTTTGTTCTTCTTTTCTTCCTCTGGAAGCCGATCAATACTTACGCAGACGACAAATAGCCTGTTGGTCCACATCCATATGCGATGTTTGAGGTGAACCTGTTCACGCCCGCCCAGTTTGGCGCCTTCGTCCCCTGGCTGAGCGTTTGGCGTGGGCCTTTGTCGGTGCTCGTCCATCCGAACAGTAAGTGAAAGGAATCATACATCGTATTTTCATTCTTTGAAGGGGGTTGTTTATATTAAAAATATTTTCTTTTTACTCAACGCGAGCGTAGAAAACGAGAGTGGATGCTGACTGTAAATGCTGGTGCTAGCGGACGAGGAAGGGTTGGAATGGGAGAGTGCGATTCGAGACCATACGCAGAGAGCAACTTGGATGGGTGAGAAGGTGCCGCTGGATCTGAGCATGATGTATGTTTTGAGGCAGAAGGAATTGGAGGAGAGGGAGAAGAAGAGCTAGTCCTATTATTGAATTATGCTTTGTCGTTGTTGTTGGCAACAGCTGCCTTGTGCCTATGTTCTGTCCCACAACAGGCCGAGATATTACTTTTATGTGAAACCAATAAAAGGTGCATTCGACCAAGAGATGTTGAACACGTCAGTCGAGTCCAACGTAAGATGACATAAATGCGACGGTGCCACGGATACCTCTTCGAGGCATAATAGAAGAAAAATGAAGAAAGCCAGGGGCAGAGTCAACGGGCCTCTATTGATTCTGATTTATAGGGGCTCATTCATTAGGAGTAAGAGCTCTTGATATGGTTTCCCTTGATGATGAGCACACAAAAGTTGAAGTGTCGTCAAAAGCCAGCCCTCAGCGGTCCCTCGGGGCTGTGTGGCGGGCGAGGGAGCTGCCGCTAAATCTGGCAGTCGAGCGCGCTAAAGAGGTGGCAGATGTGGGCTCTCCCGTGTAATGTGGCACCCTCCTGAAAGCGGTCAAATAGCCCCAAGGCGATTGGGCAGGGGCCATTTTAATGCCAGGTTGACGGGCATGTGAGGCCTAGGTCCCCTTGTCACGGCCCAACTTTTACATGAAGGAAAAGTCGGGTTTCAACATCGTGCCATTGTCTTTGTCGAATTACCTGGACGTCCACTCTTCTCTCCTATCCCTCACCGACCCTTCTCACTCTCGCATCCTGAAAGAGTATCAGGCGAAACGAACAAAACCCCCTACCTTATTAGAGACTCCTGACACGAAGACGCTTCGGAGAACAGTTGCTCTTTCGAGGGAGAATCGTTGGACCTCAGCCGCCCCTCTAAGACCTTTCAACGTCATCGCGAGTTTGGTCCACCATCAGCCGTCTCGATTCTTCGCCCCCCCTCGGCGCAGAGTTCCGATTGCCTTGAGTCGCTGATCAAATATCAATTGAATTAACTCCCAGCCCTTATTTGTCCTACAGTACAGCGCCGGAAGCGACCGACGACACGTTGGACAACGGGCTATCCCCTCGACCCTGTTCAGCTCCCCCACTCAAATCCTGACACGCGCCTCCAGGTCTGATGTCAGTCATTGTCGGTCGAGGAATTTTACGGGTTTGAAGGGGAGACCCTCTCTATCGACTTTTCCCTGCAGGACCAATATCTACCCTCTGGACCTGACAGTATTTATTCCATCCCAAATGGCCTCCACATCAGCAGCAGAAGGCTCGGCCTCGGCGGACGAGCCACCACCCTTCTCTGTTACGAAGAAATTCCAACCGCCCAACTTTTCCAGACTTGGCTCCGGCGTGTCCATCAACGAGATGCAGCGACCCCGAAAACTCAGACTGATCGTGGCCGCCAATGGGTCTAGAGACGTTGCCTGGGCCCAGACCATAGCAGTCCGCCTCTCCAAAGACCCCCAGATTACTGTAAAGGCTATCGTCGACGACATGACGCACCGGCTCGCCCAAGAGATTGTCTGTTATCAGAACAAGACCTTCAACACAGGGGACGCGGGTGCGTTCTCCAAGGAGACCGAGGCGCTGCATTCCAAGGCGTACGAGCTGGTGGAGTGGGCGGATCTGTTGGTGCTGGCACCTATCACCGCCGACAATCTAGCCAAGATGATTCATGGCATCGCGGATACCTTCTTGCTCGAGGTCTTGAGGAGCTGGGACACGTCCAAGAGGATCCTCTTGGTCCCGGGCATGTCGATACACGAGTGGGAGAACCCCGTCACCAAGAAACAGATGAGCAAGCTCTACAGGAAATATACATGGGTCAGGGTCCTGCCGGCCATACAATGGCATTATGATATGACGGAGTCGCCGACCAAGGCACAACCGAAGAAGATTGTCCAATGGAACGGCCTGAACGAAGTGCTGTCTGTCATCAAGAACCAATCCGATCTCCTGTCACTTGGTCACGATGTCGACACCACGACACAGAATCAATTCGACACCACGGTTGGGGAGCACGGCACACGCAGCGGCTTCAGGAGGCTGGCCAAGTTACCCTCGGAGCTGTGGAGCATCATCTTTGAGTATGCTGGGGACTGGGAGCTCGCCCAGGCGTGCGGCGTCTATACCCAGCTCCCCATGCCCACACAACAGGGCTGGCGCCCGGAGCCGCGCAACCCGAACGATCCAGTCTCAGTCTTCCAGCACGAGCTTGAGTGGACACTCCTCTCGGCGAACACGCAGGCCATCTGCAAGAAGCTCTCCGAGGCGCCCGAGTGTTTCCGTGAGCTGTCCGCCCTGGCCACCAAGCTCATCTTCAAGTTTACCTTGATTGATGCCCTGCGCTACATCGAGAAGAACTGCCCACACATGTTCAAGTGCTTCGACGGCAAGACGATCCCCACCAAAGCCTCGGCGTATTTCCCCCGAACCGAGATCCTCGACTGGTGGCTCACGTCGCCTTCCTTCCTCGAGAAGCAGTACGATGCCGAAGCCGTCGATGTCGCCTCCAAGCACGGCTATGTGCATATTCTTCGGTGGTGGGCTCGTTCTGGACTGCCGATCAAGTACACGCACACCTCGCTCGAGCAGGCCTCGGCTCGTGGCCACATCGATGTGCTGGACTGGTGGCGCACCACGTACCGTGAGAGCAAGGACGAGATGGAGCTCAAGCCCGGCAAGTCCATCCTCGCCGCCGCACAATACGGCAGCCTCGACGTCATCCGCTGGTGGGTCGGCAGCGGTCTGCGGTTTGCCCACGAGGAGCAGGTGTGCAAGCAGGCGAGCCGGTACGGGCAGGTTGGCGTGCTGGAGCTGTGGCGCGAGCTAAAGGGTGACGACAAGATCACGTTCGATATACAGATCCTGACGGAGCCGACGCTGTACTCGCATATTGGGGTGCTGGACTGGTGGGTCAAGTACTCGCATGGCGAACTGCCGGGCATGGACGGCCGGCGGGCCAAGAAGGTGGAATACCGCATGATGGACATAGAGGAGGCGCTGGAGGATGCCTTTGGGGACCAGACGAATATCCGGCGGTGGTGGGCCGAGCACGGTCTGAATTTAGGGATTGGCACCACAGCCTGGATGACCCCGAGGGAGCTGTGAGCTCCTCTGGACTTTGATCTGTTTGGCGCATGGCATGGACAGGGAATACATTGCATTGGGAAGACTGCGGTCATTATATATGTATTGATAAAGTGATTCTGGGACTTGTACATACACTTTCACATTAAGGGCTGGACAATGGCATCGGCACGGGGGAAAAAAGGATGCGACGGCGTCAGGTAGACTCCAGATTGAATGAATACCTATCAATTTCTTGGCAATTCTATATAGTGCCATTTCATCTTTGTCAAACGGCATTGCACTTCCCGATAGCCTGGACATGTCAGAGCTCTGCTTGAGAATTGACCCGATGTAGAAAATCTGCTAGGAGCCTTGTGCAGAGTGTCCTCTTGTATCCCATTGCCGCGAAGGAGGATGCTTGGGTACCGCCGAAAGCCTCTGTACCCTTCTGTGCGAAGCACTTGCTGCCACTATGCAGTGCGTTATCCAGGTTGGCCGTGGGTAGAGTAGGACTGAGGCAGGCTCTCCTGTCTCGAACGGATCGGTGTGCCTGACTGGAACCTCGTCACAATGAGAAGCCCTCCGGCCCACGGCAGCCCTGATGGCAAAACCTTTCTGTTGTAGGAATGCTGAATTTTTGGATTCGATCTGTATAAAAGACAGACTTTCATCCAAACTTTGCCGGATTGCTGGGTATCAACTTCTGCAGCACCTCCAGCTGCCTGATCTGCTGCCTCTTCCTGATGTCCTTCACATCTCGCCTGTCGCGCCGCTGTTGGCCGTTGCTAAAGACAACGGTGAAGTCGTCAATCTGCGTGCCTGGGGGGACAATCGTTCGTGGGGAGATAGTACACCACTAGCATAGGTAAATTTTCATGTCAGCGTCGGGGAACGCTTCCCACCATTACCAGACCAGCAGCACATGGCGCACAGGAGCTTCATCTATATTGGGGGGAGAACTTCTTTTGGAGCCAACTCACATTCCCAATCCTGGCGCCCCTCCCAACCCTCGCGCCAACACCCACCAAGGTCCCCTCACCCACCACCGTCCCACCGGCCTCGACGACCGCGCCGGCTTGTACGGTGCAGTAATCATATATGGTCACGCCCTGCGCCTCGTCGGCCGCGACGCCGACGCTACCAGCCTCGGGGGCGGTAGCAGCAGCAGCAACAGCGCCGACGTGTGTTCGCTCCTGCACGATACATCGCTTCCCGACGTCGATGGGACCGATCTGGGACTCGATCTTGGCCCGCGGGTGGACGAGGCTCTCGGTGCGGAGGGTGATGGTGTGGGTGCCCGTCAGGATGGCGGAGTCGGCGATGACGAGGGAGGAGGAGAAGCGGACGGGGGCTTTGGGGCCGGAGTCTCGGAGGGGTGGGAGGATAGAGTGGCGTTTGGTGGCGGAGGCGGTGGAGGAAGACATCGTGGTGGTCGTTACACGGCCGAAGGAGGAAGAGGAGGGGAAAAGGACGCCTTGGTGGCTAAGCCTTGAAGCTTCGCGTATCGTTAGCCTGATGGGTTGTTTAGAATCGGGTCATGATCGCGTGGCTGGCTCTTTGTTGACGGCCATATGAAGGGCCTACCCGAGATGAGTAGTTCTGTTCGGTCGTGTTGACTGCTTCCAAGCGAATGTCAAAACTCAAACCTCCACAACGCATAGGTTGTGCTGCATCGCGCAGTCTCGGAGGTTCGTCGCGAGACCCTGGCATTGGCTTCGCAGAGCGCGCTCAGCCAGTCCAAGGGGTCTGGTACTGCGGTACGTACTGTACGTACCGATGCCGAAAATCTATGACATAGAGCGACGAACGGAGCTTGCCACCCTGGTTCTCACTGTACTAGCATTTACCCACTACACACACGCTCAAGTCTGCTAAGCAGATACACAAGGTCTCTGCATCAAGCTCTCTTGTCCAATCACACCCGAGCAGTTACCAAAAGAGACCCGCTACACCTCGACACTTCGTTGACTTTCCCAATTGCCGCTCTCATTGCCCTTCACGACGACACAACTTGCCGCCAATTGGCAAACCGACACCGCTCGCCCGGGCAAGCATCATCTCTTCACGATGTTATCAAGGACAGCAGCACCGACCACAAAGGTCTCCGCCCAGACCCTCTCGAGGGTTGTGGCGCCCGCAGCGACCGGCACGCAGCAGCAAGCCCGAGGCTTCGCGACCGTCCAAGATGGCCCACCAAAGAGGCACTACGGCGGGCTCAAGGACCAGGACCGCATCTTCCAGAACCTGTACGGCCGCTACCCGCCCGACCTGAAGCACGCGAAGAAGATGGGAGACTGGCACAAGACGAAGGAGATCCTGCTCAAGGGCCACGACTGGATCATTGGCGAGATCAAGGCGTCGGGTCTGCGGGGAAGAGGAGGCGCTGGTTTCCCTTCGGGGCTGAAATGGGTACGTCGAAAGTCTTATCGATACTGAATGATCAAGAAGCATACTTTGAAAAGCCATCCCCACATACTGACGGCTGCTGTCTCTATCATAGTCTTTCATGAACCCTAAGGGATGGGAGAACGATAAGAAACCCCGCTACCTAGTCGTCAACGCAGACGAGGGTGAGCCCGGCACCTGCAAGGACCGTGAGATCATGCGCAAGGACCCCCACAAGCTGGTCGAAGGCTGTCTCGTCGCCGGCCGCGCCATGAACGCTACTGCTGCCTATATCTACATCCGCGGCGAGTTCTACCACGAGGCCGCAATCCTGCAGGAGGCTATCAACGAGGCCTATGCGGACGGACTGATCGGCAAGAACGCGTGCGGCTCAGGCTACGACTTTGACGTGTACCTGCACCGCGGTGCCGGAGCTTACGTCTGCGGCGAGGAGACCAGCTTGATCGAGTCGCTCGAGGGCAAGCCCGGAAAGCCCAGACTCAAGCCTCCTTTCCCTGCGGCCATCGGTCTGTTCGGCTGTGCGTCGACTGTGGCCAACGTCGAGACCGTCTCAGTGGCGCCTACGATCTGCCGAAGAGGCGGCAGCTGGTTTGCTGGTTTCGGCCGAGAGCGGAATCAGGGCACCAAGCTGTTCTGCATTAGCGGCCACGTCAACAACCCCTGCACTGTCGAGGAGGAGATGAGCATCTCCATGCGGGAGCTGCTGGAGAAGCACTGCGGCGGTGTCCGTGGAGGCTGGGACAACTTGCTGGCCGTCATTCCTGGCGGGTCGTCTACACCTATCCTGCCCAAGCACATCTGCGATGACCAGATCATGGACTTTGACGGCCTGAAGGACAGTCAGTCCGGTCTTGGCACCGCTGCTGTCATCGTCATGGACAAGAGCACCGATGTTGTTCGTGCCATTGCCCGGTTATCTCACTTCTACCGCCACGAATCCTGCGGCCAGTGCACGCCTTGTCGTGAGGGCAGCAAGTGGACGGAGCAGATCATGAGCCGATTCCAGCATGGCATGGGTCGTGAGAGGGAGATCGATATGTTGCAGGAGCTGACGAAGCAGGTTGAGGGTCACACTATTTGTGGTAAGTAGTCTTGCATAATCTGGTGCCTTCTTTCATCTTTTGACTAGGATACTAATGTTCTTGTATAGCTCTCGGCGAGGCTTTCGCGTGGCCCATCCAGGGTCTTATTCGACACTTCCGACCAGAGCTCGAGAAGCGCATGCAGGATTACGCCCAGAAGACTGGTGGCTCGGCCCTGGCTGGTGGCTGGACACACGACACGAGGGCACAGGGACACTTGGTTGCTCCGGGCCAGTAAGGGCTGCGTGGTTTGGGAGGAGGGGGAAGGGAGAGGGGATGATAGTTAGACTGGTTTCGCAGGCACTGGCGTTGCATGCGTGGTTTTTCGAAAAAGAATAAATGATCGAACTGTATATTGGATCCTTGCCCATCTTCTTCCATTGGGAATGTATTGTATTTTTCTTCAACAAGTGATGCACCGGTCTGGTCTTTGGACCATTTAATTGAAAATTTTCGCCCGACATGATGAAAACCGGAGATATGCCGTAACACATTGTCTGCCACCCATTACAGTAGGCATGAAGGGGAATATGAGTGACCGTGACCACGAAATTACGAAGTGAGATAGTACTATGCTGCTGACTAGTGAGTGCTTTTCACTGTGGACCGAAGCCGCTGCATCCTGGCTGCGCCGTTCCGACCAGGGCAGCATTCTGACAGCTGCGTACTTTCCGTCTCACTCCTGACAAATATACCTAAATGCATCTTCCGCCGCGACCGGCATTCTTCCTTTTCGGAAATTACTATTCTTCTCTTGCTCAGATCAGACCTGCCAATATTCAAGCTGCACTTTCAAGTGAGCGCTTTGAACGGCGAAATGGCTGAGCAAACGGTGGCAGTCGCTCCATCGACCTTGGAGCAGTTCATCCGCTTCGGTACTGATGCTGGTGAGTCCTGTTTCCATATATCACAGGTGACCTCAGACAGTCTAAAACGACCCTAACGCACATATCTACTTCATCAAAGCCGGCATCGAGAGGATACTGCGAATGGTCCAAGCTATCGTGATGGTTGTCTTGTCACAGCCTCTCCTGACGAGCAGTTTCGCCAAACTCGTCGCCCTGGGCAACCGCCACGTCTGGATCGAGCCCCGGAGCGCTGACCTCGCCGCGCTGACCTCGCTTCGGGGTAAAGTGGCCCTCGCGAGGCGCTTCTTCCGGATGTTTCGGTTCTTGGAGGCCTTCCATGCGGCTCATTTGATTTACACGTCGTTCTACGCCTCGAAGCCGGCGCTGACGCCCACGCCTGTTGCACCTTTGGACCCGGCTATTACTAATAGTCCTGAGGTCACTGGTGGTGGTGAGAAAAGCAATGGCATTGATGAGAGCCAGGTAGAACAAGATCAGACTGTGGCTCCAGGTGTGAGCCCTGACGCTGCCGCCGATACAGACCAAGGTGTAGAAGCAGAATCAACGCCACCAGCCCAGCAGCCCAAGCGTACGTGTAATTGCAAGCACCACCACCACCATCATCACCACCACGGCAAACCCCAAGACCCCAACAAGATCCCCGTAGAGGCCTGGTTGGACATCTTCTCCCGCACGTTCAACGGAATGTATTTACTTCTGGAGACCCTCACGCTCGTGGACGCGCTCGAGCTTCCCGGCCTCCGGCTCTGGGGTTTGCACTGGACCACAGTCCTGCACGTCGAGGGCCAGCGGTTCTGGTTCTTCTCGTTGCTGTGCGGACTCACAGCAGGCCTGGTGAAGGTGGTGAAGCTCGTGGCGTACGGGCCGGTGCCGCAGACTGGCGAGGAGTACTGGGCGTGGGAGAGGAAACCCGAGGCGGAGATGGAGGAGTGGGAGAAGATGCGTGAGAAAATGCGGCGGTTTGTGCACCGGCGGAGGGAGGGTAGGAAGGCGTGGAAGAGGGAGATCAGGACGAGAGGGTTCAGGATTGCTAGAAGGTGTGTGGCGGACCTGCTGGACCTGGCCTTGCCTGGGAGTGTGGTCGGGTGGGTGAGGGTTCAGCCTGGGACGATGGGGTTGGCGATGGTTGTCTCTACGTGGCTTACGGGGTTGGAGATATGGGAGAGGTGTGGAGGGTAAAGGAGTAGGGCATAGATGTCGTCATATGTATTATATGCTGCTATATATATATATCATAGATGGAGGGTTAGATAATTGCTATCTGGTGGAAGGCATGCATGTATGAGATTCATTCAACAGGGTATGCCCTCCTGAGATCCCACAATAATCAATGACACATAGAAAAGGGATAAATGTCCTATCGAGAAACACTACTCTGTTACATTGTTCCCATAAGACCCAGACTACAAAATCTCAGCGTGTCCTTGTGGACAACGACATGATGCAGTAGAACTCTGAATATTGGGCTAAACATCTACAATTCATTTTATAACTAATATGCCACTGCATGGGAATTCATCTGTACATGCTCAAATGTAGTAAACTGCTTCTGTTGTGAACGGAGACAGACAGAAGAGGAAGTACCTGGATTGTTATCAATATATGGGAGGCTGATCAACAACAATGGACTGGACACAGCATTGCCATAGTACCATTGCAGTAACATGCAAGGTACCTCAGGCAGCCCTAGGTTAGTGGGCCGGGCAGACTGCCACGGCAACGGCTCCTGGTAAACAGTGACCCCAGCCCCAGCCCCAGCTGGCGCCAGGGAAGCGAACCATCCCCACCCTGGGCCACAGCAGCAGTGTATTGTTGCAGGGGTGTGCTGCTAGCTCCGACGCCTGTGCTCCCATGTTCTTTCAATGTTCGTTTTGTCTTTCCTGGTGCAAGCGGTCGGCAAGCCTAAACATCAAAGAAAGTCCTCCACGATCCTTTTTCTTTCGAGTTGCCCTTTTGAAAGGCAGGCAGACACACCAGCGGCCCTTCCCCCCCCCTTCCATTCAGCAGCTCAGAGACTCATTCATTTTGCCTTGTTGACACCACTGCCCAATGGTCTGCAAAATTAATTGACCTCACTGCGAAGATGGCCGCTGCCGAAGTGGCTGTGGACTTTGCCTACCTGTCCACACATCTCGGTGTGCCAGACACCACCCTCTCGACCGTCGCAAGCCAACCTACCCCCGATCTCGTCACTGCTGTGCTGCAGGCCGTCATCGCCAAGGCGCACGAGTTCGACGCGCTCTACGCCGAGAAGCTCCAGGTCGACATCGAGCTCGAGAACGCCGTCCGTAGCTCCGAGGCCCGATGCCAGACATTCAAGGCCACGGCCGACAAGGCCCTGAAGGACGTGGAGGAGGTGCGCAGGAAGCTTCAGACCGAAGGTAAGCCCTCCATGTTACGCGTTCTGTCTGCTGCCTGACGTGTTGGCCACTCTATTTTGGGTTTGTACTGACGCGTGGCTCTTGTCCCTGCTTAGAATCTGCACGCCAGGCCATCGAGACCGAGCTTCAGCAGGTTAAGTCCTCGAGCGGCAACAGCCTGTCCGAGATCGAGTCCCTGCGCGCGCGCATCACGTCCCTCGAGACCTCGAACCGCGACACCCTCGCCATTATCGAGACCAAGAACAAGACGAACACCGAGCTGCTGGAGGAGCTACAGAAGCTACAGACGAAGAACACCGACCTCAGCAAGAAAATCTCGGAGCTCGAACAGTCCGTGCAGGCCGAGAGGGCTGCTGCGACCAGCGCCAAGTGGCGTGAGCAGAACCTGCAGCAGGAGCTTCACCTGACCCGGCAAAACAACGAGTGGTTCGAGAAGGAGCTGCAGACGAAGCGGGAGGAGGCGCTCAAGTACCGCAAGGAGAAGGGCGCCCGCATATCCGAGCTCGAGCGGCTCAATGACGAGCAGCGCTCAACAATCGACTCGCTGACACGAGGCGAACAGCAGCTGCGCTCCCGCCTGCAGGAGGCACAGGACAAGGTGGAGGCAAGCCTGAAGAAGATCCAGCAGCTCCAGGAGCAGGCCGCCCGTGCCGAGAACAACTTCCGCCAGGAGATCGAGGCGTCCAAGCGCTTGGCTGAACTCCAACATCAACAGGCCGAGACCAGCAAACAGAGACTTCGGGATGTCGAGAACCGGCTCGAGACAGTGCAGGACGATTTCGCCGAACAAAAGACACAGGTCGAGAAGAAGTTGGAGGATGAAAAGTCACAGCACCAGAAGACCTTTGAGCGGGTACAGCAGCTTGAGCAGGAGATCAGTCAGTTCCAAGCAGGAGGTCCGGCCCAGGCAGGCTTTGGCTCGAGACCCCAGACTCCTGTCGCCAATGGATCTCACCTCAGGGCCGGCTCGCCTTTCGCAACGCCTGGCTCAGTGCGAAGCAAGGGTATGACAGCGACGCAGGCCCTCGATGAACTGTGGAAGGCGAAGACAGAGTTGATCACCGTGAAGAGGCGGAATCAGCAATTGGTTCAGGAGTTGGATGAGACCATGTCGATCCTCGAGGCGAAGGCCCCTGAATTCAACGGACTGGAGTCGGAGATCGAACGCTTGCGGGCCGAGAACACCCAGATGACCCAGCTGGCCGATGAGAGCTATCAGGAGCGTGATATCGCGAAGAAGGCCGCTCGTAAGGCAGAGTCCGCGCTGAGCACAGCCCAGTCAGAAGTCAGCATCTTACGCGCCCAGCTTCGTGATCTGGGCATTCAGATTCAGTTCCTGGTGTTCAATCTCCAGGCGCAGGAGAAGGGCTGGGACTCGCTCTCCCAGGAGGAGGCAATGCGGTTCGAGCAGCTTCAGAAGGGCGAGATCGCCGAAGGTTCTCTTGACGACATGTCGGACACCCACCGGTTCATCACGGAGAAGTTTGTCGCATTCAAGGACATCACTGAGCTGCAGTCCAAGAACCAAGAGCTACTCAGGATCACCCGGGAGCTTGCCGACAAGATGGAGAGCGAGGAGGCGCTCGCAGCAAAGCAGCAAGCCGTCAACAATGAGCGAGAGCTCGTGTCCCTGCGTGAGTTGTGCGCCCGGCTGCAGGACGAGATCAGGTCCATCACGGTGCGCATGCAGTCCCATATCAAGGAGCGGGATATGTTCCGGCGCATGGCAGAGGCCCACAGATCGGGTGCTGGCGAGGTTGATTCCCCAGGCGGAAGTCAGCGAGAAGTTCTCGCAAGCATCGAACACAACGCGATGGAGGAACCGGAGGTCACAACTATGCTTCGGGAACTACAGAGTAACTTTGACTCGTACCGACAAGAGGCCAGCACCGACCGCAAGGCTATGCACGAACAGGTTGATAAGATATCTTCGGAGAAGAATTCACTGTCGGCAGAGGTGTCTCGGCTGCGAAGCCAATATGAATTGGCGCAGGAACGCCTGACAATGCTGCAGTCCAACTATGAGGCCCTGCAGAACGAGAAGTCAGAGCTTCAGAGGAGGAACCAAGGTCTTTCAGAGGCTGCGGCCAAGCAAGACCTGCGGAGTCAGCAGCTGGCGGCGGATCTCGTCGAGACGAAGGCGCTGTTGGACAGCATCCAGAGCAAGAATGCAAATCTGACGGCGGAGAAGGAGCTCAGCACTAGCATCCGCGACCGGCTTACCCAGGACAACGACAGCCTCACACAAGAGAAGGCTCGTCTGAGTGCTGCGCTCGGCCAGCAGCAGAGCCTGCTGAATGAGCGTGAGATCTCAGAGTCGGAGAACAGGCGCAGACTGAACGAGCAGATCGAATCGCTGAAGACAGAGCTGAACACGACCAAGCGGAAACTCTCAGAAGAGGTCGACGAGAGCAGGAAGCTCCAACAGCGGAAGGAATACGATGCCCAACAGCACCAGCAGCGCGTCGATGAGCTTATGACAACGATCAACTCGGTCAAGGAGGAACTGGTTGCTGCTAAGACCAGCAAGGATCACCTGCAGGCTCGTGTCGATGAGCTCACGATCGAGCTTCGCAGCGCCCATGAGAAGGCTGAGCGCTTGCAGCCGCGACCCACGCCTAGACCCGGCACTGCCGTCGACTCTAGGGCCGCCGACGCAGAGACCGAGGCCCAAATCGAAGAACTCATCAATGAAATCTCAGACCTCAAGCGCGATCTGGAACTGGCGAACTCGCACTTGGCATCCGCCCAATCGCAGGTAGAGTCGTACAAGGAGATTGCGAACGGTGCTGAGGAGTCTCTGAATGAGATCAACGCGACACAGGATCAGTTCCGCGAGCAGATCGAAGCTGATCTTGGTGCGAAGGATGCGCAGATCAAGGAATTGCAGCAGCGGATCGAAGATGTCTCTACGGAACTGAGGAACTCTAACGCCGAGCTCACATCCTTACGGGACTCCCAGGCGGATGTCACACGGAAGTACGAAGAAGAGAAGCGCATACTCGGAGAGGAGATCTCCAGCATGAAGGACGACGCGGAGCGACTCAAAGAGCGGGCAAAGTACCATCAGCAGGATCTCCGCGCTCAAGCAGAGATTGCCAAGAAAGCACAGCAAGATTATGAGACCGAATTGGTCAGGCATGCGGACGCCGCAAAGGCCCTGCAGGGTCTCCGAGCGCAACACAATCAGCTGAAGACCCAATCCGCCTCATGGAGGGCCGAGGCCGAGTCCGCGAAGCACACGCTCGAGGACAACAAGAGATCATTTTCCGAGCGCGAGCAGCAACTACGACAAGAAATCCTGGAACTCAAGGAGAGGCGCCGCGATGTCGACCAGCAGAACAAGCTGCTGCAGGAGCAGCTCAATAGCTTCACGTCCCAGCTTGCTTCCATCAAGGAGAACCGCACGGCTTTCATGGATGCCGAGGGCGACTCCACCACATCTGTTCCTGGTTCCGACATCGAGCGGCTCACCGAACTCAACAAGTACCTGCACCGGGAGAAAGAAATCCTTGAGGTTCAATACAACATCAAGGTGCGCGAGGCTGAGCGCATACAACAGCAGCTCGATTCCAAGCAGTCACAGCTGGAAGAGGCACAGCTCCGGCTCGAGCAAGAGCGCGTGTCGAGGACTGATGATAGCCTGGCCAAGAGCCATGAGGAGCTCATGGCCAAGCTGAACGAGCTCAACCTGATCAGGGAGAGCAACACCACCCTTCGCAGCGAGAACAAGCGACTAGAGCGTCAACTCGGGGAAAAGAATGCTGAGATTACCAAGCTACGAGCCGATATTGAGCCGCTGAAGAACGAACAGAGCCAGCTTGAGGATCGGAAGGCATATCTTGAGCAAGAGCTTGCGCAGATGACCGAGGATCGCAATCGCTGGTCGAAGCGTGTGGAGAGCATTGTGAACCAACAGGGTCGCGTCGATCCGGCTGAGATGGACTCGATGAAGACGAAGCTTTCT